GCTTTATTCCAAGTAAAATTTGCACTAAATAGGACTAAAACATAATGATTTTCCCAATGTAAGACTTAAACTTTTTTATTCCCTAAATAGGACTTAATAATGACCTAGTGGGAAGAATAATGTCCAGTAATGATGGACATTTACTTGAATAATGACTACTTGTTAATGACCAAAAGTTCTACATTGGGAAATAAAAGCATATAGTCCTATATTGAGAAAGTCATTATGTTTTAGTCCTATTTAGGTAAATTTCTCTTATTCCAAATATTTATTTAATGAAAAACATTTTTAAATAGGCAACATGAAACTTTACTTTATACACAATTAATTATATGCAATAAAATACACTTTACTTAAAAAACATAAATAAAAAATTAAAATTTGACCAATTAAATGGGGCCACATTAATTTTTTGTTGGGGGCATATACGCATAAGATTTTTTAAAAAATACTTTTAACCTTATCACAAATTTTCAACCCAAAAATAAAACTAGGGGAAAAGTCGAAAGCTAAAGCTAGGCTTTTGGACTTTTTTTTTTTTAAAAAAAGAATCAAAGTCGAGCTCAAGATCCACCGAATGAGGAAGATGTTTGGCAATAACCTTTTGGACATTTATTTTTTTTAATTAAAAATATACCTAAATATTTAGGTATATTACATGATAATTGAATTAACTAGTAAGTAGGTAGTAGTAAAGGCAAATTCTTTTGTAGTGATTAAGGTCCATACTAATTATATGGACCTTAGTGCATTTGTAGTATATAAAAGATGCGGGTCTTTTTAAAAAAGAAAATATTCACATTTAAGTCCATTAAAAATTGTGAGAAAGACCACATTTTTAAATGTGAACTTTGAGATCATGTAAGCATCAATCACCTATAAAATCATCACAAATATTAAGGACCCGTTTGGTGAGTTTTGGAGATGTGATAACATATGAGTTATGAAATCTGGAAGAAATGATATGAGTTTTGAAATATGAAATGAATTTGTTTGGAGAGAGTTAAAATCATAATTTAATTAGTGATAAGCGTGGGTGATCGGAAACAGGAGACGAGAGTGGTTGACAGTGACAATGGTAATCAGTGACAGAGAATGATCAATGATTGAGAGAGATATCGAACCCCCAAAATTGATATTTTCTAAATTCGAGAGATATCAAAACTTTCCATTTGAAGGATTTATGATATCTGGAGATATTGTATTCGTTATCTTTTTTACTTTACCAAATACCCAAAAAGAATTATGATACACATATCGTGTTTGGTCATCAAACACAACCTCAGATTTAATTAGTGATCAAATTAAACGGCAAGGCCGGTTGTTTTCTACTCCCTCCGTTCCACAAAACTCTTCTCCTTTCGTTTTTTGCTTTCCACAAAACACTTCCACTTTCTATTAAAAAACCACTTTTACCCATATTTTTTCATACTCTACCTATCACATCATACTTTTTCACTAATAACCAAACTATCACATCTTACTTTTTTCCATCACATCAGGGGCAAAATTGGAAAGTCAACTAAAATTACACTTTTCTTATTTTTTCTCAAAGTCAAAACCGGAAGGGTTTTGTGGAACGGAGGAGGTAATAAAAAAGATACCATACTCTACTCCAGTAAAACTAAGGCATGGTTTAAGCTTTTGCGATCTATAAATAGGGAGCCGATCTTCTCATTTGCATTGAATCATCTCATCTCCTCATAACACCCACACAAAGTCTCCCAATTGCTCCATAATTCGCTTTGGTGCTGAGGTTGTATGTTTTTCACATCTTGCAGCCCACATTATTTGATTATTTTTCATAATATAATTAAAATTTTCAATTCATGATTGTATTGAATCTGAAGCATTCCATTCAGCTAGCAAAATTGTACTTGTTATTCAATCTAATGAGTACGTCTTTGTAAGCAGAATGGAATGTTTCAACAAACTCAATACACATTGTGATTAATCGGGATTCTTTAATTTTCTTCTTCTTCTATATACTCCGTATTTGATAATTTTATATTTTTGTTTTCAGATTTTATGGATTCAATAAATAAATATTACTCCCGTGTCCCAATTTAAATCACATGTTTCGGTACGATGTTTGACTGAAGTTATTTTCAATACAATTTATGTTAGAAAATGAGCGAAATTAAAAATAAAATTTACATATTTAAAACTACATCAAAATTTCTATAAAACAAGAGGTGACAAGACTGTATTATTTTATCAAACGTGTAATGAAAATTGAGAGAAAATGAATCAAATTTGGTCTTGTGAATATTAAATATGTAATTCAATTTAGAACGGAGGGAGTATGTATGTATGTATTATTATTATTATTATTATTATTATTATTATTATTATTATTGGTTTTATGTTTTAGATCTTTTCATCTTGTTTGTCATAGCATATTACTCCAAATGACCTTTATTCGGTCCAGGTACTGTACATTTCAGATACGCTTTGGGAGTGAAAATTATTTTAGTAGCAAGTAATTATAATGGAATAAAATCCTTTTTACCCCTTGTACACCATATTATTTGACTATTTACTGTAATAACTATTTAATGTTTTCTATATACTTATTATTATTTATTTTGAAATGTTCAAAGTTTTGCTTGATTTGTCACTTGCCACAAGATACCAATTTAAATATTTTGTACAATTAAACAACTTATAATGTGTATTGTATTTAAAACATTCCATTCTGCTCTCAAGTTTGGCAAAATTAAAAAAGAATGTTGGGATTACATTTTGGTACACCTTTTGGGTTTTGAAATACTTTTCTCTCTTAGCTTACAAGAACTTCTGAATATCAAATATTGTTAGAGAGTAATATTATTTATTCATAGTTATGGCAAATATTGTAATTTATTAGTTTTCATTCTCTATTACTGATTGTGTTAGGAGTCTCTTCCATTGATATTACCATCATGTACTTCAAAATTCAAAGAACAATACGGAATGACAAGCCTTCGGTCATTGCTATGTTTGTTGCATAAACTAACAAAACATTTCAAATTAATGATATAATCAAGTACGTAGTACGGGTTTTTAGATTTTGTTGAATATATATAGAATTGGAAGTGATATATTCATCAAACGTTCAAAGTTTTGCTTGATTTGTCAGTTGCCACAAGATAACACTTTTAATATTTTACACAATTAAACAACTTATAATGTGTACTGTATCTAAAGCATTCCATTCTGCTCTCAAGTTTGGCTTGTTGTTTAATGCAACCAGCACAATTTTGGAGCAGATATGGATGTTTTAGATCAAATATACATTGTGATTAAAATCCTAACTCCCTTATATTTTGATGATGTATGAGTTTAATATTGATTAGGGGCCGGGGACACACACCCACACACACACTATATATATATATATATATATATATTCTTTTAACACAGTGTTAATCAAGTGAGTTGTATGTTTGACATATGAATTACTCCCTCTGTCCCAAATGAAGAATCTTTGTTTGGGACGGAGGGAGTAATTGGCAAAATTTAAAGAGAATATTGGGATTACATTTTAGTACACCTTTTGGGTTTTGAAATACTTTTCTCTCTTAGCTCACAAGAACTTTTGAATATCAAATATTGTTAGAGAGTAATATTAATTATTCTTAGTTATGGTAAATATTGTAATTTATTAGTTTTCATTCTCTATTACTGATTGTGTTGGGAGTCTCTTCTATTGATATCATAGTTTAAAAAATCAGACCGGAACAGCCGGTTCGGACCGTGAACCAGCGAACCGGTGGTCCAACCGGTCCGGTCCAGCCCGTTGGACCGCAATGTGCTTCGAACCGGTTCGAACCGGCCGGTCGGTCCGATCCGACCTGTTTTTTTTTTTTTTGCAATTTTTTTCCAAAATTTCACTCCATGAGGGTTTGAACCCAAAACCTTAAATGCATTTGCTTGAGTTCTTAACCATCCAAGCAAAGTAACTTGTTGTTCCAAGTTTGCATAATTTTTTATAATATTTCATAATTCATAAAAAGATTGTATACAAATTCCTTTTCAATTTTAAAATATTAAATCATTGATATTATTTTTTATAAAATTTTAATATTATTTTTTAATATGTAAAGTTTATTTTTTTAATTTAGTAAAATAACTCAAATATATTACTCCGTAATATAATTCTAGTCAAATATTATAAATTACTTTCTTTAGGTATTTATAAATGAGAATGTGTGTGTGTGTGTCTATATGCATGTGTGTGTATACATACATACATATACATACATACATACATACATACATACATACATATATATATATATATATATATATATATATATATATATATATATATATATATATATACATACACACACACATACATACATACATACATACACACACACACACACACACATACATACATACATATATATATATATATATATATATATATATAGATATATATATATATATATATATATAGACACACATGCATACACACACACATACATACACATATTTAAGTTATTTTACTAAATTAAAAAATTATATATATATATATTTATATTTATATTTATATAATTTTTAAATATGTTTAAACCACCGATTCGACCAGTGAACCAATGAACCAGTACCTTGACCGGTTCGGTCACCGGTCCGGTTCTGAAAACTATGATTGATATTACCATCATGTACTTCAAAATATGTTTCCTATTCTTGTTATAGTAGGAATAGAACTTACTTATCTGTTTTACTCTCTTCTTATCTAAATAAAATTAATCTTTGTAATCCTCAAGACAATTCAATATAGAATTATTCTCCATTATTATTTTCTATAGCATCGGAGCCACCGTTCTTAATGACAAAATTCTTTGTCTTCCCTCCTAGTGGGTGCATGGCGCCGCCATTAATCGCCCGTCGGGAGGCTGTACATCACAATTTGCACTAAAGAAATCCCCGTGCAAAATTTTACAATTACGCTGACATTTTGTGGGGTGCTGGGGCAAAACTTGGTGTATAAAATGGTATACAAAAGTGATGTGAACATAGCATTATTGAAAAAAGAGTTAGTCAACAAACAAGAAATAACCTTGAGCCTCTCAGGTACATAGTACTAGTACTTACAAAAGCCTGCTTCTATATCCTATATCACAAATAAAGAAAAAGAAAAAAGTTCAGACCATGTGTAGTAGTAGTTCAATTGGGGCATTTTCAGCCATGTGGAGATCATGTCAATAACACCATTTTAAACCAAAAAATATGTATTGGTTCATGCCTATCTCCATCCCTGATTCCGTCGACCAGAGCGTCAAAACATTTCATTCGCCAATTTCTGTGGTGATTTTGGCGGATTCTTGTAGTGGGAGCAGCGTGAATGGGGAAGTGACACCCCCATTACGCACGGTCTCATCAGCAAACAGAAAATCTAATTTTTGTTTGGTAAGTAGGGAAATCGTTAAGAAAATTACTTTTTCAATAACACCTTCATTTTTATTGTATCAGAGAAAAACAAAGGAAGACATTGTTGAGAAGAGGGGAGAAGGAGGGGTGAGTGGGGGAGGAGCAATGACAGGACGAGGAAGGGGCAAAAGGGAGGAATTTGATCTTTTCCCCTTTTCCTTGGAAAACTAGAAAACAGATTATTTAGACCTGTATTCGGTTCCAGGCAACTGTGCTGAGGTATAATTATATAAGCATAGAGTCTCTATAAGTACTAAGTACATGTCTCACTCTCTGCGGTCAATTTGCAATCAAATTCTATTTTATCTTTTTTTATTGTCAGTTTGACTGGATCTAAAAGAGTGCTTAGAGATGGGCTCATCCTTTTTTGGAAAGTAGATTCATTTTACCATTTTTTACTTTACATTTTCCTTCCAATTACTTCTCATATCATTTCCGACCAACCACTATTTGATCATCATTTTCTTTTCTTTTTTGTTTCAAATTCTTTGTAAAAAACAATCTATTGTATTGTTTCTAACACGCGAGGGAGGGAATTGTACTGTGAGTAATGGCTCATTTAGGTTTTCTCTAGCCACTTTTGACTATGAATAATGGCTCCTTGAGTAATATAATTCTGTTAATTTGATTGATGATTAAATTTTGTAAAGTTTGATTCGAAAAGTTGTATTGGACAAATGACTTGTATAATGCTGCAATTTGAAGGAGACATTCTAGAAAACCACTAGCTTTAACACTAAGAGTTTGATATTAAGTGTTTCATAAACATATATGAGTATTTATTGCAACAGTTAGTGTCAAACTTCTAATATCAAACTCTTGGTGTCAAACTTATTTTTGATATGATAAAGTGTTTAAATTTCAATACACCTTGGGTTTTGAAACTTTTTGTCCCCATGTTAGCTAACAAGAAGTTTTAAATATCAAATGCTAATGCATGAGTTACAATAACAAACAATACTTTGTTACTTTGGTGGAAGAAAATCAGAAGGGAGGTCAAGATGGAAAAAAAGAGCAAAAGAGTTTTTGGAAGAAAAACACTCACAACCATTAAAAACCAATATGCTTTCTTAAAAGTTATTTAAAAAAATACTCCGTAGTATTTAAAATGTTATTTCCATTGAAGCAATTATATTTAAAATTTTAATACCATATCACCATAGGTTATAAATTTGCCATTGAAGCAATTGTGGGGAGGGTAAAAAAGAAGCATCCCAATGAAAAGCTTCCTTAAAATGAGCATATATCATTTACATGGGAAAAAGAAATTCCATGAACTACTACTACTACTACTACTTACAAAAGCCAAAACTACTTACATGAGTGAGTGATATTATGAACCATCTGGGTTTTCAACAAAACAACCAAGTGTGCTTCAATTTCCTACATCACGAATATTCGAACTGTGTTTGGTTAGAGATTTTGGAAGGAGAAGAAAGTGCTCATGAAAAGAAAAGAAACTTAAACAAACAGAATCTCCTACTTTTGTTAGGTTAGAAGGTGAATCGGTAAGGAAATTACTTTTTCAATAACACCTTTGTTTTGATTGTTGCAGAAAAACAAAGACATGGTTGCATGCACCCTTACCATTTTAAATAGGAGCTTAGGTTCTTGCTTTCATGTGAACACCTCAAAAATCCATCAGAATCATCAGAGCACGTAACATCTTCATAACTCTATATGTATGTTAATAATATAATGCACACATTATTTTTGTTTAATGTATAAATGTACAAGTATTCAAGAAATAGTTAGAAACACTTGAGAAGAATTGTGTAGACAAACCTCCTCATAGTTATTAACTTCAACTGATTCAGCCTCATCATTCACCTAACATGGGGTTATTCAATTAGAGAAGTATTCAAATCTGGCAGAAGAGCATATTCCTATTGCTCCCTTTTAGAAAGAATTGAATATTTGGAATATGAAGGGAGTACGTGGGACAACTAGCACAAGGACAGGTAATTAATATCTCAGCAAGCATATATAAAGAAAAGAATAATTCATCCATATCATATTACAAGTCCCATTTCAGACCACAAAGGTACCCTAGAATACTTAACTATCCTGCAATTATATCATCATTAACAACAACAAACCAAGTAAAAACCTAGAGCCTGCGGAGGGTGTGTATGCAAACATTACCGATGCCTTATCCCGCAATTATATCAAACCGCAAAAACCAAATTTGAATGTGGTTAAAAGAACAAAATTAGAGAATGAAAGATAGTTGAGTGAAAATGGCACAAAAATTGCAAGAATTTACTTGGACATTACATGGAGAGCAGGAGAAAAGATGAAAATAAGTACTCCGTAAAAGAAAAATCAAACTTTGAAGGATGTGCAATTATGCATCTATACCTTTGGCATATTATTCTCCTCTTCCATTAGGCAATTCAAGTAAGCTGAACATATCTTCTCAGCTCGAAGCTCATAGGGTTGCCTCTCCTAAATGACAAAACAATACTACTCCGTAAACAATAAAAAATGCATTAGACATTATTTGGTTATACTTGAAAGCACATAAACACAACATGAAGACTACCATTTTAGACATGTTTCTCCAGGTCTCAAACCCTCTCCTATCAACAGCAATTTCATCCCCATCATGGCATGTCTTGGCAAACTGCTCCCTAATTGTCTCAAAGTATCAAACAAGTTAAAACAAAAGGTTTCAGCTTGTCAGGCATTACATCAAACATGTTATGGGCATCCAAATTGACAGAAAGAATTCAGAAGATAACATAACCAGAAAAAAGGTTAAGTTTACATGAATAACCGAAATGCGGATCTGGGTTGATCCTGAAACCTCGTGAAATCTTGGCTGTTTTCAACCCGATGTTCTTTTCCGGTATCGCTCCGGCGTTGTGTTCTGGGCTTCTTGATGGAAACTCTTGTCGCTCCACATTCATGCATGTCAGCCAGAGAGATTGCCACTGAAAGGCCACAGCTTTCGCTGCAATGCACAGAACCCATTTACCCAAACCCCATCATCTCCAGTTAAATTCATCGTATCATGTTGGAAAAAAGAAGATGACGAAGAAGAGGAAGAACCATTGTTGGAAAGCACTTCCGTCGGGGCCACGACGAATGCGAATGGCGCGAACTCTTTTCCGGGGAAAACCCATTGAATTGCAGTGGCTTTAAGTTGATGCGAAGCTGTCTGGTCTGTCTCTTCCATTCATTGTTTTCTAAATTCGAACCTTTTGATTAGTTGTGTTGGAGAGGGAATGAATGCGAAATGGGAAATTGTTGATTCCACTTCCATAAATGCATGCGCCGGAGTTGAAGAGCCTCTGTAAAAGCTGTCCTGCGCCAGGAAAATTTGGTCATGTAGACTGTAGGATGGATATATGCGCGCGCGGGGACTCGATTTTCATTATTATTAGCGCCTTTTTTTTTGGAAAGAACAAAAAAGTGGCACAAAGATTTCCCGCCGGATCATTTTTGGCCCAAAGGAACTCTCATTTGACCCAACCCAATTTCTGAAACCGGACTGAACGTCAACCGGAAAAGAAAGTAGCCTAAGGATTAATTAAGTGGTCGAACCGGGTCAACAACTAGATCAGCGTATCGTTCTTGTGACATATTCTAAAGGTCCATTGTTAATGTGTTTTTATAGTATGTAACATATAAGACTTGTATGTAATTGATTGGAATTAATAAAAAAAAGAAACAATAGTGCTGTAGTATATTAAATTATATTCAAGTCATTAGTAGATACTACCGAGTATCTGATTTTTAAAGATTACAATATTTTTTTTAGTATAAATGAATCGTACAAAGTATTTATGCTTTGATAAACAATAAATAATGTTGGATTTATAAAATGAAGAACACTGCAAAGCAGTGTTAAACGAAGAACTCGATAGAATAACGAATCGTGTACGAAATGCTTTCAGATCAAAGTTATTTCGGGGTATACGAAATACTTCAATCGGATAAGACGTTAATTCAGAACAAGCACTCGAGAATCTATATGTCAACCCATACCACGAGACTCTATTTTATAGAGTCGAAAATCCTTGTGATCGGACATGAACATTCGCGTAGATGTACGCGTATATTCGCGCAAGAAGAAGAAAGGTGCGAGTTTGAACGAAAGGTCTCCTGCGGTTGAAGGCTTAATTTCGACGTTTATCCATTATGTACGAGTCCTTTACCGTTTAGAACTCCGGTCACGAAAATCTCAAGGATTTTCTTAAAAAACAACGTCCGAAATAAAAAATTTCCAAGCTGTCCCTTGGACCCCGCCAGGGGCTGCCGCCCCTTGGACCCCGCCACCCGGGGGCTGCCGCCCCCGGACCCCGCAGTGAATTTATAATATCGTTGAACGAGCGCGCACTCCGCGTCTCCTAACTCGTTTGACAACGTCTATTTAAATTCTTGTCCGATCAAAGTAAATCCAATTACACAAAATAAATTGATGACACTAAAATCACCAACAAACAATACCCATTTCTTTTTCCTGAACTATTTTTTGTACAAGTTTGAACTATTTTAAAAATTTATAGAATAGGAAGATAATAGAAAACTTGTACCAAAAATAGAATGTAATATAAACAATTAATGTGTCAACTAACGTGAAGAGAATGCAAGTTGAATTTGTGCAAAATTGTGAAGACAATTGAATAGATGTGTTTGCATTTGAAGCGTGTATTATGTATGTAGATAGCAGCGTATTGTTAGAACATATAAAAGTCATTCATTATAACAACTAAAAACATTTTTGTAATGGCCAGGCTACTAAAACATTTTTGGTAACTTTTTATTAAGGATTGATTCTTAATCCATAGGAGGGCATGATTTATTTTCATTGCAAATACAAACAAGTCTACATTGAATAGCACACAACAAATTTGACTCTTGTACTTTTCTTAATTAAATCGATAAACTCGATCAAATTAAAGGTGTATCAAGCTAAAACCTCCGACATTAACATTCGAGCTAATTAATTAAGAACGCGATCAATTCCTCACCCTGCAGTTCTTTCTAATCTCTCCATTCATTCCGGTGAGGGGCTTGATGTTGCCCATCCGAATCATCGCCGCCGCGAAATCGGCGGCGAACTGGCCAGGGTTCGAGCTGTACCGGCGCACGGCGGAGTCCGTCGCGCCGCCGTTGAAGAGCTGCTGGTCGGAGTGAAGAAGCCCTTTCCGGCTCACCAGGTTAACGTAGTAATTGTTGTCGAATTTGGTCGGCGTCTGCAGATCTAGTGGCGCCAAATTGTTATCCCCTGCCCCGCTTGCCCTTGGGCAGCTGCTCCTCCTGTTCTGGGCAAAGGTCGCGTCCACGTTTGTCTCGTTGTATATTCTTGCCCTGAAATTGGTGCACCTTGCCTGCCCAATTGTGTGTGCCCCTGAATAGTAATTTTGTCACCAGAAAAGAAAAATCAAAGTCAAACTTCATTGGGTTTTAATCATAAAATATAGAAAATAATATATTAAATTATAAGATAAATTTAATCTCAATATTTTATTTTGAAATATAAAGATGAAATATCATATTTTAATAATTGTACATAAATAAAGATAGTAATGGTCAAAGTGTTGTATTTGAGACCGAAAAAAGCCAAATGAGAAGAAAGATATGGAACGGAGAGAGTAAGCTAGCTAAGTCACGAGTTCAAACCACACCTGCTAAAACAACCATGTCGTTGGTGGAGAGACCGACGGCACTAAAGCTGGACATGAGACGATTGAGGTTGAACGTAGGCTGAGGAATGCTGTTGTTGGCGGCGCCTTGGCTCGCCGTCCTCGCGTCTCTTCTCCCAAGTCTCACATTCCAACTTGGCCCTCCAAGCTGCATACACATACATATGCATACATAATGCTGTTAGAATATAAAAAACATTTCATGAATCTAAAACTACGAGTTTGAACTTCTAATGTTTCTTGACAGGATATAAGAGTCTCTGCTGACTTACTATGGAAGTAGAGTCGCGAGCGGCAATAGCTAAAATATCCGCACAAGAAACAACACCGGGACACGCTTTCTCGACTGCAGTCTTGACGTTGTCGATGACCTCGAATCCACGCGCGGACTGGAAGTTAGGGGCCGCGTTTTTCTCTCCTATGAAGGAAGACGTGTCGTCGAGGAGGAGCGATCCGTCGCAACCCTGCACAAAAAATGAAAATCAATTGTAGATCCAATTCACCGAATTAAGTAGAGCGGTATGTATATCGTATATAACAAGACACTTGAGCTAAATCACGTACATTGACAAAGCAGTCGTGGAAGAAGAGTCGGAGTATAGAGGCGCCGATGCGGGGTTCCTTCTGGATGGCAGCCTGGACGACGTTTTTCACCGTCGGTAAAAGATTGGGGCACGAGTTTGAGTAAAACGACTGCGGGGAGAGCTGAGCCATGGAGCCTCCAACAAGCAACAACAACAATAATAATGAGCTCAAAAACATACTGCTAGTAGCTGCAGAGGAAGCCATTATTTGATTTAATAAGCTTATATCTAATAATAATAATAAGAGCTTAGCTTATAATATAAGGGCTTTCAATTCAGTAATAACTAGCCAGGGAGTATATATTAGCTTATTTTATAAGGGCACGAATATATAGATAGATGAGTAGGAAGTATATAACAGGTGGCCGGCGCAAATATATTGTCGGTCCTAAACTTTATGTGATGTCATTGCTCAATCTTATTCACTCTGCACTATAAAATATTCTTCCCAATTACTTTTTACACGGTCAAAATTCTTGATGTAGTTTATATATACTCCGGGTATATATATATATATTATATATATATATATATATATATATATATATTTAAATTTTACACGTACAATCAAATAAATTGAATTGAAAATAAAGACAGTCAAACCTCGTAAACACAAACGGGAAAAACATTATAGGAAGGAGAGAATATTATACTTATTTCCCGTCCCAAGCACTAAAATCACACTTTCTAAATTAGACGTTTCAAAATTATTATCATAATTGGCATATTCGATTTATTAAAAAAACTTTTTCGATTCTTTTACTTTATCAATCGTTCTTATATACTCCATCTTATTTCGATCAGGTCATTCAAGTTTTTCTACTTTTTTCGATCACTTTTACATACTCATTCTTATTACAACCACGTCACATCAAGATCGCATCAGTGGCGAAATTGAGAAGTTAATAAAAACACCTTAAATCTTCCAAAATGTGCCTTTAAATTTTGAGACTGTGGGAGTGTATCGTTTTTGTTATTAATTTGACTTTTTCTATTCCGAATTGATTTTGAAAGTTAAGTAAACAAAATTCTCATTATATGTGAAGATAATGTTCTTAAAAAATTATTAAACGAACTAAAAAAAATCATTTTATTATTTTAATATGTAATGAAAATTTTATGTAAAGAAAAGACTAATAATTTATCATAATTAATTTGAAAAAGTCAAGGAAGGGAGAAATTGTTGTACCCCCGGATTAATTAAAATTAGGGCGGCTACCAAACAAAAATGTAGGTGCGGGAACATGAAATGCATAAATGCATTTTATTATTTGATGCCAACCAAAGATTTGAACCAGTCCAAATCATTTGCTCCAATTACTCGTACCACTAATAATACTCCGTACAATAGTGATAAAAATAACGTACAAAATTTTATTATTTTATTTTTAAAATTATTTTAATTATAAATTTATATATAAATAAAATGTATAAAGTACACCGTTCAAATGTACATAAAAAATTCTACAAAGCAAGAGGGAGAAGATGTATTTTATGTTATCAAATGATCGTTAAAAACATACAACGCATAAAAGTTATCATCGAGAAGTCGTAATAGTGACTGTAACATCTAATTTGGAAGGAAGGGAGTAATAATTATACTCCATACAAAAAAATCAACAATTTGATGGTATGAGTATAATATACTTCCTCCGTTCCTAAAAAATTTTCTTATTAACGTACAAAACTCCGTGACTTTAAAAAAGATTTTATTCACAAATTGGTAAAGAAGTATGAAATAAAAATAATTATATTTAAAAAATACATACGTACATTAAAAACTCTACAAAACAATAGGTGACAAGAATATTTTACTTTACCAAATGATCAATGAAATCATGTAAACAAATACGAGTTATCGAGAGATCGACCGTAATAGTAAATAGGAAGATCCTTAAGAGACAGAGGGATTCATTTCTTAATTAAGATATTTTCTTTATTGGAGGTTAAAGTTTAATTTAACTTAGAGGCTAGATAAGGATTTTCAACACTTAGTTCAACATGTTCAATTCAATTTCTGATATCTCGCTATCAGACATGAATGTGGAAACTAGAACTACTACTAAAAAATTGAGATGAATATACTAAGAGTATGATGTGATTGAGAATTCACATCGAGTACTAGAATAACAACTGAAATCAGTGTGACACTTTCATCGATACCACATGTCGATGAAAAATCTTAGTTCGATAAGTGGTGTCGATGAAAATGTGTCATTGTACACCATAATGCAAGTATGTAACTCGTAGTGTACAAAAAGGAATTCTACGGAGTATTATACATTGTGAAGCAAACAAATCATTTGATCATTAAAATAATAAGAGTTCCTATTGGAATTTACATTGACTGAATTAATTTTTAATTTTATTGGATAATGGATTTGAAGGATATAGAGGGTCTGTTCCTGGGTATTTTTCTAGTTTTAATTTTTTTTGCTCAATTGTTTTTAATATTTGACCTACAGTTAAATAAATATATTATATATTAATTAGATAAAATAATATTTTGAAAATGTTTGATATAATAAATCTAAGAAAATTATTTTTGTATCAATATACGGAGTATAATATTATTTTTATTTAATTTGAGTTCAAAGTTTACCAATTTTAACCGAAAAAAGTGAAAAATAGACAAATTCTCAATGACAGATTGAGTAATAATGAGCGGTGAATTGGTTAGTGGTGAGAATGGAATTGCATCCGTAGGTGAGTTATCGAGTGTTAATCTATATTTGAAAGCATAATATTTTTTTATAAAATATTACAAATGATTAACGAATTTAACATACAATCAATCCTATACTTAAAAGCAGGGGAAATAGCACCCACCTCTTTTCCCGCCCAAAGGCACAACAATTTGGTCCGTCCATTCATGATGATCAACGGCTGGAAATCAATCCTATACTTAAAAGCAGGGGAAATAGCACCCACCTCTTTTCCCGCCCAAAGACACAACAATTTGGTCCGTCCATTCATGATGATCAACGGCTGGAAATAACTCATTTAAAGAAATAAATATTTTAGTGAAAACTACACATCTAAAAATGGTAATTTAAATAATCAACCGAGTTATATCCATTTTTTGTGCTTCCATACAATAAATAGTTTTTAAACTTATTTTAGGAAAATGATATATATGGAGATATGACGGGGTATTAATACTATTTATAAAAATAATATNAATAGCACCCACCTCTTTTCCCGCCCAAAGACACAACAATTTGGTCCGTCCATTCATGATGATCAACGGCTGGAAATAACTCATTTAAAGAAATAAATATTTTAGTGAAAACTACACATCTAAAAATGGTAATTTAAATAATCAACCGAGTTATATCCATTTTTTGTGCTTCCATACAATAAATAGTTTTTAAACTTATTTTAGGAAAATGATATATATGGAGATATGACGGGGTATTAATACTATTTATAAAAATAATATGATTATTATTATTATTATTATTATTATCATTATAAAAGAATAATAGAATATTTTCTATAAGAATAATTTATATAAAATAATATATTCTTTTATCATTATAAAAAATACTCCGTATATTTTTGGAAATTTTGTGCCTTTACTAATATGATGAGGATTATACCTTTCGTGTAATATATCCATTTAAATTACTACCTTTGGTGTCATATATCCATAAATGGAAATAATATTGTTTGCCTTTTCTTACTAATTTATATGGAAATATTTGTTAGAAATTTTGTGCCTTTAATATATTCTTTTCTGAAATAAAAAAAATGTTTATATAATTTTTATACGTTTTATAGTTTTGTTTCCTTTTTTCGAAAATAAATATCACTCTACTCTTAAAATCACTCTACTCTTAAAAGGAGGGGAATTATTTTCCCGCCCAATGCACTCATCTCCTGCACCGTTGATATCAAAAAACAAACAAGATCTATGGCTATGATTGGTTGTGTAATATCACTCTACTCTTAAAAGGAGGGTAATTATTTTCCCGCCCAATGCACTCATCTCCTGCACCGTTGATATCAAAAAAACAAACAAGATCTATGGCTATGATTGGTTGTGTAATATTACCTATTTAGAATGATAAATTAAAGAAAATTTTGCATACATAATCACTCTATTCTGATAAAAAAGGAAGGGAGTAATTTGTTTCCTAACCAATTTTGCCTAATTACTTGATTGTGATAAAAAAGGAAGGGACGGTGCAGGAGATTTTGTATATTTTGTTTCCTTTTTAAATAGGTAATTATTTATAAAAATCATCCTAAATAGGACTAAAACATAGAGAAAAGTATCAAAATAGGACTTTCATATTTTTTTTCCCGGAATAGGACTTTGCATTATGGTAGTGTGACTTTGCATTGTGGTAATGTGGCAGTGTACACGTGCAAATTACTATACTTTCTTGGTAATGTATATGACCATGTTTGGTAATGTAAGTCCTATTTCGAGAATAAAAACAAAGAAGTCATATTTTGGTATATCTTCAATGTTTTAGTCCTACTTTGGTCTTTCTCCCAATTATTTACGCCTAATTATTACTATTATTATTATGATTTCTTGGAATATTTTACGCCTGATTATTTTATCAAAAAGTAATTATTTACGCCTAATTAAATATGTAATTATATACTTAATCACTCTATTCGTAAAAGGAAATACCTTTAAGAATAATAGAATGATAAATTAAAGGATACTTTGCATGTATAATTACTTAATTCTGATAAAAGAGGAAGGGACTAATTTCGCAAATAAGATCTACGTTGTTTCCTTTTTAGAATAATTTAGCAAGAGTAATTACTTAATCACTCTATTCATATTTAGAATGATAAATTAAAGAAAATTCGCATGCCTAATATATTTTTAAAAAAGATAAAAAATATAAAAAATATTATTTATATAGACTTCTTTTCTAATACCGAACTTTTTTATAAAATTGGAATTGATATAATAAAAAATGATTACCATTCAACTAAAAATAATATTTGTCCATAAAAGGTAATAATCACGTTAAGGTGTAAATTTTTTAATCAATGCATTAAATTTATAGTTTCGTAATTTATATAATTTCCAATTAAGAAACAAACCATTTTAATCATACAAACCATTTGTTACCTTTTCAAAAAAAAAAAATCAAATCTAAAAGAAATGTCAAAGTAATACATAGAAATAGTGGTACATATAGTAAGAGTTGAATAAATAAATGATAATTAAATAATAAATCATCGTGTAATACTAATAGATCATGTATTACTGTGTAACAAGAATAATAATATTAATATATTGTGTAATAATATTTCCGTATTTAATCATTATTAATTTATTACCATTTAAGAAGAATGATAATAATAATATACTGTGTAATAAAATTACCGTACTTAGTCATTATTATCATCTAATAATTCTAATCTAAGAAACTTTCAATTTAAAAATATTTTAAAAATTTGAAATATAAAAATTATACGAGTAATGTAGTTTATAAAGAAGTCTTTAGTTATTTGTAAAACAATTAACTTTTGTACCTGAAAATAATAAAATTTTTATATTCTACTTCCTCCGTCCCGAAAGAAGTTCCCTTATTGACTTTTTGTAAAAATTAAGGGAGAGATATTTTGGTATTAACTTTCCAAAAATACCCTTGATGTGATTGATAAATGTAAGATGAGATAGATAGATTATTAGTAAAAAGATATGATATGATAGGTAGGATAGGAAAAAATAAGGGATAAAAGTAGTTTTTTTAATGAAAAAAAGAAAGCGTTTGTGGGACAAAGAAAAAATAAAAGGGGATGTGTCAGGGACAGAGGGAGTATTATATAAGAAATTGTACCCTTCAAAAATGATCTTAATTTAGTAATATAAGTATGACCCGTGCAACGCACGGGAGTGATGCTAGTATGTAAATAAAGAAAGAAGAAATAATTTCACCGTGTAATAATACAGAGTAAAGGAGATTAATTTCTCCTGCGTTGATTATTTCTATAAGTCAGTAGTCTTGGGTTTTTTAAATTAAGCATCATACTAATTTGCAATTAAGATAATATTGTGTGACCATTCTAACAACTTTTTTAGCTGTAATCCTATATAAAAAATGCTAGCAGGAACCTACCACAAGTGCTCTCGCATATGAAAATCACAAATGATTATCGTTTGTGCGTGTATGTATGTCTAAACTATTTGTGATTGTTATCCGTGGAAACACGTGTATTGGGTTTTTAGTATGATTCGTCCTAAACATCTCAAGGATGGGAAACGTATATGCTAAATTTATTACTCCGTATAAAGTCAATTTCTATCCTATCAATTGAGTACTCCTATCGTAAACTTCATCATATAAATTAGCGAATAATGAAACATTCTCGTATAATTAAATTAATAAAAAAAAATAAGTATACATCCAACCCATAATAATTTATTTTGTTCATAATGATTGACTAATGAATGTCTACTTAGATATATATGTAGGAAACAGTGCAGGTGTTGAATTAATCAGAGTTTGACAAAATTGAAAAGATTTAAGATTGGTATAAGATATGGTTGAAAAAAGGAAAATTATTTGGTTATGTGTGTGGTGTATGCAAAAAAAAGGTTCGTGGGAACACAAAAAAAATAAAAAAGAAGGAATCTTCACATTTTCAAAGGCTGCATATATGGTGTGAAGCTTTATGGACGTGGATTGTTTTTTTTTCTCTTTTCAGATTTGACTTTTCCATTTAAATTAAACATGTTAAATTTCAATCACTTCTTCTATCGCCCAACATTCCACCCCATACAACATAAGAATATGTGAGACCATTGCCCCATAAAATTTTCTTTCATGTTACTAAAGCGTGCAGTTTCAATCTTCATGTTAAGAGAGAATTTTTCAGCGGTCTGGATGTGCCACAAGTTGATAACCACAAGCCAAGTCAGATCCATATACTCTTTAATTTCCAAACCACATTTCAAACATGGTTCCATGATTCAATTCTTAGATTGTTCAATAATATTGTTCCTAGAATACAAGAAAGTACGTGTTGAAGGTGTAATAGACAAAAGAAGTGTGCATAGTAATGTTATTTATGTTTAGAAAAACGTAAAAAAAAAATAATCTCGCGCTCAGTATAAGACTATGAGTTATGGAGTATGTGTTAGGAGAGTAAAAAAATATGATAATTTTTTTATCAGACTAAAAAGAAAAATATTGCAATTAATTCTGAATATGGGGAGTGCATTGTTATTAAGACTAACATGACACATCTCTAATGATACCAATTTAGGTGTAGTAACCAAATTAACACAAATTGTGTTATAGCACCCTTTGTTTAATCTTCTACCGAGAATTTCATGGAGGTGGTGTACTCAAACTATTGCAAAAATGGAGATGAAAAAGTCTGGAGAATCTTATGAATAAGAAGAATGCACCACACATGGGTGCTTTGCAGAGATGATAACCATCAGCGTCGCACAAATGATCACCATCTGTGTTATCTGTGCGAAGCATGGGTGCACCCATGGTAGCACCCATGTGGTGGCACCTAGCATGACCCTATGATCTGCTATGAATAATATTCCAAGGATGGAATTGTTGCTGTCAAATTTTAATGAACGAGAATGACATTTTCAAGGTGGTATATGACACTCAAAGTCCATCGTCTCAAATTGTATCACCCTAATACCGACATAATTGGAAGATTTGTAAACAAGAATACATCAATTGTAAATGACAGTAACACTTTTGCCTTTCACGGTTCAAAATGTGAAGTGAAACTACCACAATGCTAAAAATAATATGACTCCCAACTCGATATATTCTCGCATATTTTACCGTTGTAAGATACATTTGACGCGCCATTACTCATTACGCCACATAGATATATAGATTAAGTTGTCGTCGTAAAATGATCAAATGTGGCAGAACATTGAAATGATCATTATGGATTTGTACGGGAACTAATGAAGTACGTAACCACATCTCAAATTTGTGTAACCTGAGTTACATCTAGACGTTTTGCCCTATGTCTGTCCATTCCTTAGATTACGTTAAAAACTTCTTGCCCTGCGCAAATGGATGAGAAAAAGACAATGTCAATTTGATAGCCCCAAGGCTACATCGGTTGACGTGGTCTTTTGCCTAGCCGTTCCTACTACAGAAACCAGGGGCAGTATATTTTCTTTAGGCTGGTAATTAACAGAAGTGGAAATTTAAGTTTAGGCCAATTTCATGTCCTAACCTCTCAAGTCTTTACCAATAACGACTCCTAGAAAATGGGAATTTTTTTTAGTAAATAGCCAGAGCGAAGAACTAATTATTAATCAATCCACAGTAAACAAAGACGCACATTGCCACTTTTCTTGTGCACAAAAAGCCACGGCAGTGGGAAGTCGGACTGATTTCCATTTTTGAGGTCATAAAACGCAGTAACAACCCTATACACAAGAACACCCCTGCCATCTCGTCTTTGATAGTAATTTTCTACCCAATCACCTTCCGACTTCTATAGCCACTGTACTATACAGGAAAGGTCGGTCATACCTGTTAGATTATACCACCTACAGACTTTGTGTGTACTACATGCTCTTCTTATGGTAAAATATCACTCCGATGCTTCTTCCACTTCCAGCTCGAAATCATCGATCTCTTTAAAATAAGCCCTCTGCTTCTCCACAAAGTCTTTTGGCAACACAAATTCTGTAAAAGGCTGCTCCTCTGATCGCCTCTTCTGCAAGCAAAACTTCAGTTAGTTGTTTGCTCCTTTTAATATTGTTACACAGCATAGCATTGAAAGTTTATGGCCTTCATAGCTTGGCCCTCCTTTCCCCCTATGGGTTCATAACTTCATACTTCATGCATTCCCTATTCCCAACCGTATGCACATCTTGGATTCATATACAAGGAAGAATGAAAGTGGATTTCATACAATGATATCTGCTAGACATGGAATCTTAGTAAATGCACCAACAACAAAAAAACTACTCCATCTGTTCCAAAATGAAGCTTAAACTTTGACTTCACGAAGTTTAAGAAAATAGTTAAAAAGTTAAAGTTGAACGAATGAAATTTATTTAGACGAGAGAAATGATAAGAATCGCATACTCATTTCCTAAATGGTTTATAAAAAAGACAAATGTTTACACACCTTGGCACACTTTTTATTGGGATCAGTCATCGATCCGAATGACTCAGCATCCCCAGCCTCAGAAACACTGCACCAATCAAGATAAGTTATTTCAGTGGGAAGCAATATTTTGCTGATATCTGTAAAAGTGAGTTCACTGAAAACTGAAAATCATGGCAAATGACTAATCTGACACTATAAAACAAGATAAGTTATTTGCATGTTTTGGTGAATGGAAAGAAATTCTCACATACTCTAGAGTCCAGAGTATTCTAAAACACCAATAGCTTTGTAGGACATCAAAAAACTCTTTTCAAAGAAGATGCAATACTGTTTATTTGTTCAGATGATTATTCGCCTCTAAAAATACATATTTATTTGTTCCTTGCTCACATTTGGAAGATGCATGAGCCATGTTTATTTGTTCAGATGATTATTCGCCTCTATAAATACATATTCAAGTTTGCAAGAGTATATAAACAATTCAACAAACTGTGCAAATTCTACCAAAGAAATGGGGAAACACAAACAGCACTAAATTCAGTTTCAGTTATAGTGACTGGAAACCATTTACATTCTCATTTTTGACACACAGATCGAGGGCAGAAAAGAACCTTGTATTCTTTGTTCTTGGCAAAGGAGGACAACTAAAAACAAATCTGTGTGACTTTTTTCTTCCCCTAGTCTTTCTTGGAGGTGACCTTTTCAACGGCAGACCAGATACTTTTTCAGCCATTATTTCATCAAGTATACTGCCATCGTCCACAGTTGGCTTTCCTCCCCTCTTAACCTTGGAAGGAGGGGAACTGAGAGAACCAAAAGTTTCCATACCCCTATTTTTCTTTGGCGCAGTTGACAGTAGGCTAACATGATGCAAATTATCCTTCTCGTTATTTGTATTCTCAGTAACTCTATTCTTGTTGTTCTTAGGAGGTGGGGAACTTACACCCTCAATCGCTTCCTTCCCCCTATCTTGCTTATTCTTGGCAGACAGAAAATCATCATTCTCAACTATTTCTTTCCCTTTATCCCTGTTACCTGTTCCAATAAGCTCTTCGTTCTCCTTATTACTTCCAAAAGGAAAGCAAATATCGAGATCAGAAACTGCCTGTGCTTTCCCCCTTTTACTTTCACGAAGAGTAGAACATGGAAGAACTGTAGCTTGTTTTTCCCGATTAGATTTTGTAGGGGTCTTTCTTTGACCATTAACTCCAAATTTACCATCTGCAGAAGCTTCAAAAAGAAAGAATGTGTCGACTTAATATAGATGATAAATACAATTAATGCATGTGCTCAATCAAAAGCTCTGGAAGTAGTAAGAACAAGTGAAGAAAATAAGGGATGCAAATTGAAATGATGTTGGCATTGATTTATGTGCTGTGAGAATTAACAATATTAAGGCAGAAACACATTCACTGAACAATAAAAGGGGTAAACTTTGTTTAAGCTATGAAATGCAGATCAAACACATGAGTAGATTGTTTTATTTTGTAATTTTTTGATGGAAATTTGGATTCGATTATTGTACATATCCCCAGAGAAGTAGATATCAATTAAACCTAATATCCACAACAACAACAGCATCTCTACTTACGAGTAGGGGCAAAGGTCTGCGTACCCACACCCTACTCTTGTGGGATCCAAGAGAAAAAATAGATACAATTTAACCTAAAATCCAGTAGGCAGAATTTATTATTATCCAGAACAAAGCTGATTCTCCATGAACAGAATCAGAATCAATTTTATTGTTCACTTCCGCATCCTAAAATATAAATGAAACAAATAGAAAACTGATTCAATCACGTATGAGAAGAATTGAATGTTTGTCCACTCCCTCTACAACACTTCACGGAAAATTAGCCTCTAATTGAACTAAACAAGATGAGCACATCGCCCTCACCAGCTAAATCATTCAAAATTGACGAGCGAGGGTTACCTGAAGTGTTAAGTGAAGAACGGGAGAGTGGAGGGAAGCCAAACTTTCTGGTTTCCTGAAGTCGGACGAAAGAGGAGGATCCAACACTGGTATCGGATTTAGCATCAGTTGAATTCTCAAGGTAGGGTTTCGAGGATTTGGAATCCGATTGGGAAACAAGAGATGGGGGTTTCAGAGCGGCGGAGTCGATGTTGGAGTAGGAGGTCCCGGCGGAGGAGGCGCCGGAGGTAGTGGTGGTGGTGATAGTCGCGGTGGGGCAGCAGAGCTTGCGAAGAGTCTCGATTGGCGTGAGATTGAAGTTGGAGAGGTCGGCGAAGGGTTGTCTCACCGCCGCCGCCGCCGCCATGGATCTGGATTTGGAGTCTCTTCGAGCAGATTTCTGGTTCCCTCGAGCATCCATGGCTCATGTATGAACCTAGAGAGAGAAAGATATATGTAGAAAATGCCTAAAATGGTTATGATTGGAGGAGAGAGAGATGTATACGGAGGATATACTCGTCCAGTTGAAGCTGATTGTTGTGGAAGATTTTCGTATGGCGCGAAAAGATATACCGGGCGTGTAGAGGAAAAAAATAGGAAAATGATCTCACAATTCTATTATCGAGTTAAAATATCAAAGTTTTTCAATTCATTTTATTTAGATATTGATATAGAAATAAAGAATAAAATTTAAATATAAAAAAACTACATGAAAAATACTCGAAGAGGTGTCGAGATTATTTTATTTTATCAAATAACAATAAAAACGTAAAAATAAACAAAAGTTCTCGCAACTGCTGGAAAAACAAGTGTGACAAATATTTTGGGACTGAGGGAGTAGTTCACAAACTTCACAAACTTACATTTTGTGGATTTTAAATTAAAATATCTTTTATTATTTAAGTGTATCTTATTTCTAAGAAAATGTAAAAAGGGCAAATTTGTGATTTTTGTGTACTATTTATTTGTATCTCTAACATTACTCAAAAAATAGTCCCAATTTAGTGGTGACAAACAAAGACCCAACATGTTTTATCTGAAACTCAATTCAAAAATATTGGGTTTAAACAAAGTTTTTAAAAATAAAAAGGGTCAAACGCGACCAAACATGTCCTGACCGACCTGCTAATGTAGGAATTTTTCAAAATCATATACTCTATAACTTGTATTTAGTATATAAATGTATATTTTTAGATAAAATTTTACTGACATTATATAAATATCTTACTTTTTTCTAAAACTTATGCACTTTTATAATTCTTTATATTGATTTATATATCTAAAAATTACTTCAGAATTTAAAATAAAATAATCTAATAGATTTAATACATGTTTTTTTATATATTAAATTTATTCAATAAAAAATGCAAGTGTTAATGTGAATTTAAAAATTTTAAAACCAAAGTCATAACCCGTTGAGTTTACCTAAATCCGATGACACTTGGTTATAAGCATATAGTTCTCAACCCGAACCTGAATTAACCCGAATCTGAAGTAACCTGAACCCGAAATGAACAAGCCTGAACCTGACCCGATCGACCAAATTTCCAACTCTAAGCCTCATAGTTAGCATAGTTGTCTCTTAGCGCAGTTGACATGAATGGAATTTGGGTCTTACCTTTTTGACACTTCTTGTCTTGCCAACCACACAACACCCACCGCAGAGGCTTGTAAAGAAAGTTTGTAGGGTGAGATAATAAGATAAAGAAAGGTTTAGAACATTTTTCTAATTTATTTTTTATTTATTTTTATTGGAATCAAATCAGAAACAGTTCTAAATATAACTAATTTAGGTTAGATCAAGACTTACAAACCAGATCAGAACTAATCAAATAAGTTGAAGAGAACAAACTCTTATGGTGTGTTTGGAACAGTTCCCTATTCAACGTTTAAGAAGGTTATCTAACGATAACATTTACTTCCTTCATCCCTAAAAGATTGTCACTGTTTGACTTTTTTGGTCAAACTGTGGCACCTTTTGACTGTGAATTACAAAGAAAAAAAATTGGTTATAACGTAAATTTAGTAAAATTAGATTTATTTTAAAATATAGTTTTGAAATATCAAATTTTTATAATATTTAATTATTTTAAATTATATTTAATTTTAGTCAAAAGATATCATAGTTTGACTGAAAAGTGAACCGTGGCAATCTTTTGGGAAGAGAGAGTATGAAATTTAATCTACACCATTAAATCTTTATTTTAAACACTAACATTAATCGAAAACTTTACTCCAAACAAGGTCTTAATTCGCATGTAATGAGTACTATATTTCATACTAATATTTTGCTTCGGTGTGAGATTTTATATTACACAACTTTAGTAATGACGAAATGCCCCTTCCGTCTCAAAATGTCTGCCACATTACATAAAATGAAGAAAAATTCTCAATTCTTTTATTTAAAGTTTGGTATACAAATAAAAAATAAAATTCACATATTTAAAAACTATGTCAAAAGATTTTCAAAACAAGAAATGACAAGAATATTTTATTTTATCAAATAATCGATGAACGTACAAATAAACAAAAATTTCATTTATTTTTAAACAGTGAATTATGTCATTATTTTTAGAGTAGAGAGAGCATAAGTTTGGAATGAGTCATCATTAAAAATTGGGATGAACAATTTTGTATTTAATTTACATTTAAACATGCAACGATCTCATATTTTATGTCTTCGAAAAAAAAAGTAAATAGTTTTGTTAGTTATTTAATATCTGGATTATGCACGATCATGCATTTTTACCATCCAATTCGAGCAAATACATACATTTTCGACAATGTTAGAAGTTTGCATGCCACATAAACAGAGGTCTATATATAAGAGACAATACTTATATAATTAATACACACTCATATTAAAACACTGGGTATGACAATTAGGCTTAAATTATACAAATATTGTAGTTAGCTTTGTCTCATGGCATCTAAATTTAAAAATCAACCCTATTTAAGCTAATATTGTAGCTTAATTTTTCGACCTCGGATTGTAACCGAGAGTATGACAATGTAAAGAGTGGTGCTTTCAAAAACACCATCTCTACCTTCAAAAATACTTAGGGGACACCAAAATGGCGACACCATCTTGACCCCAAGAATTATACAAACGCACACTGACAGTAAAGGTTTGTGTGTGTACAGTCTGTGTAAATTTTGGTGTCACCCTAACACAAAAGGGTGGGATATGTACTTAGGTTTTGTTTGGTTGATGGGTTATTACCATGGTGCAGAAATCTCTCTTCAGTCCTTTCATGGCAAGCCAGATGCCCTCCCTCCATGAAGTCCTGGGTTATTACCATATTGCCATCCCTACATTTATAGAGGAAACAAACAAACTCTTCATGCATATCAGAGTTCAACATAAACTATTGGAAAAGAGGTCATTTGGGAAAAACCAAATACCTGAGATACATCACTGCAGATGAATCTTATTTTTTTCCGGAAATCGTATGTCCCAAACAAGCATTGCAGTATTGCACTTCATTTGTTCTGGCCGTCAAATCCATAGTTTGGTTGCATTTCAGCTCTTTCATGATTCAAGAATCCGTTTTGCAGAGAATGCATATATTCTTATCAAGACTCCAATTGTCATGTAAATAGCTACAAGCAAGTTGAATAAGAAAAATGACTCTTTGATGGTACGTTTAATTTGGTACCCAGAAAAATGATGGGGGAGAAAATAGGATGGAAGATAGAGGGCAAGTTCGGAAGGAAAGATAATTTGAGGGAAATTATATTTTAAAAAAACATTGGTTCAAAATTGAAAAATCCACTTAGAGTAGATATTTGTTCAAACACATTGTTATGTATATTCTTTTATAACATAAAGACTAAGAAATAAAAGTAGGGTGTTGCTAAATCCACCCCATTATGACTAAATCCACTCCATTTATGATTAAATGGACAGCTTTGCCCTAGAAAGATATAAGATGCTAGCTAACTCTTAAGAGTAAATTTGTCCATTTAACATAAATGGAGTGGATTTAGCCATAAAATGAGTGGGTTTAGCAACACCCATAAAAATATTGAATATATGTAAATTTTAAAAAGTTAAAATCAAAATTGATTTCTCTTCGTATTTTCCAAGGTAAAATCAATCATTTTTAAAAACTACAGAGTACTATTCTTTATTAACCGTGTGTTTCACTTCTCCTGTGAAAATTTTGACCAACAATATCTATTGAAATGTATCATACTCTGTATACTAGTAAGAGAAAACAAAAGCAGAGTAAAAGATAATGAGGTCAGAAGGAATTGTAAAGCCAGCAGCAACATGAGCATACCTTCATGTCAAAGACCACATGCCTTTTCCAGTGACATTCCAGCCACCCTGCAAACCCAAGTTTCTTATAGGCCTTTTCAACCAGTATTCCAGCTGCTCAGCCACTGACATTTCGATTTCTTAAACAGATCCTTTCCATTTGATTTCAAATTCACCCATCCGATGAACAGTCAACTAAACTTTACCCTGGTAATATTTATTTAAGTGCCACGGATTTTGTTTTCCTGGTTTTCTAAGAGCAGGATTTATGCAACAAAGGGTGGATTCGTTTGGTGTTAAACCTTTTTCATTCATCTCATCGAGCAACCTCTTCGCCTCGGCTTGGCAAGACACTTTAAAGTATCTATCAAGTTCTGCTTGTTTTGACAGTGTGCACCATCCAGAAACAAGTATATCGTACGTTGAAGCATTTGGTTTTGCTCCCCTAGCTTGCATCTCATGCATGAGTTCTTGAGCTTGCTTCATCTTCCCAATCTTTGCAAACTCACCAATAAGAACATTATAAGTACTAACACGGGGAACAAAGCCTTTCGTTATCATTTCACAGTAGAGCCGTATAGCTTCCTTTTTATTCCCTTGCTTCCCATAGCCTGAGACTAGAGTGTCATAGGTGTTAGAATTACGGACAAGACCCCTAAGCCTCATCTCATTAAGTACGCCGTCTACTTCTTGAAACCTTCTAGATGCCGTTAGACCCTCAAGGAGATAATTGTACGTCGCAATATTAGGAGAAACCCCTTCAACCAGCATTATAGAATATGTTTCTAAAGCTTTATCGATAAAGGATATTTTGCAATACCCGTAAATAAAGGAATTATAAGTTATAGTGTCAGCAAAAATTCCCTGCTCTCTCATTTTCAACAGTTGTGATTTTGCACAGGCGGTCATCCCTTGCCTGCATAATACACTTATGAGTGTGTTGTAAACTGTTTGGTCAAGCTTAAGCCCCATGCTTATAAGTCGCTCGTGCATTCTTAAGATCGTCTCAGCTTTTCTATCTTTTGATGCAACGCCGATCAAAACTTTATAAATGGATTGGGTAGGCTGAAGACCCATACTCTGCATATTGTTCAACAAATCTATCACTTTATCGACTTGACCAACTTCACATAATCCCCTCAGCATAATATTACAAGTAACTGAGTTAGGCTTCAGTCCATGCACATTCATTTCATTCCAAAGATTGAAAGCGTTTCCCACTTTACCCTCCTTGCAGCAAGCATAGATCATGGTGTTGAAAGACAGAACGTCGGGTTCTAAACCGAATCGTATCATTTCACCATAGACGGACTGCACTTCATATTGCCCACTCCGTAAGAGCCCATTCAGTATTACATTGCAAGCAACTGTATCAAACCCAAAACCTGTATCTTTCATCTCTTGGGCCAACTCAAGAGCAGCCGAGTGTTTTCCTGATTTAAATAGCCCATCCAGCAGCGATGTATAGTTAACATGATCAGGTTTGACTCCGATTGATACCATTTCACCTATAAAGGCCTCTGCTTCTTCCATCTTTCCGTGTCTTTTAAAATTGTTTATAAAAGCATCCAGTATGAAATCATTTTCCAACACTCCACACAATTTCATCTCCGTGTAGAGGGAGACAGACATGTCTTGATTACCAGCCTTGAAGCACCCGTCAATCATGTTACCATATATGCACACATTGGGCATGACATTGTAGTGAACCATCTTCTTCATCAAAGCCATAGCTGCATTAAGAAGCCCCCTTTTAACATAGCCATTAATTACAGAAGAAAATGTAAAGGCATTGGGCACAATGTTTTTCTCTTCCATTTCTTGGAACAGGAATTCTACACTCTCCATGCCGCTAGATTTGATCCGCCCGTCTAACAATGCTGTATAAGTGATATGGTTTAGATGCATCTTGAAATTTAGAAGAGTTTGATATACTTCCTCAGCATCCCTAGGTTTCCCAGCTTTAAACAACCCATCCATCAAACAGGTTAAGATCACGCTATCAAATCTTATTCCATGAACCACCATCTGGCATTGAAGGGCAGAGGCAGCAGACACATCCCCTTGTTTGAGTAAATAATCAATCAAAATGGTGTAGGTAAAATGATTAGGATCCACCCCGACAATCTTCATCCCCTCTATGACTTGTTTGGCTTCAACAACCCTTCCACGTTTACAAAGGCCATGTATGAGAGAACTATAAGTAACAGAATCGGGGGATACCCCATTCTTAGTCATCTCTTCATATATACATAGTGCTTTCTCAATCTCGGACTTCTTAATGTATTTACTAAACAGCGTAGTGTACGTAATGAGATAAGGTCTTACAACTAACACTCTATCTAAATTTTCTGCAGTTTGACCATTGTCGCTAGGAAGAGAAACCCCATTGCAAACTTCAACATTTTTACATGACTCCGTGAGTTCTTCCATTAGACTCTTGGCAGTATCAAAATCTCCCATTTCACAGAACCCATTGATCAAAATATTGTAAGTGACAATGTCAGGCCCCACCCCCTCACGGCCCATACCTTCTGTGATCTCAAGACCATCACTCACTTCATGAGCCATAAAACAGCCATGTATAATGGTGTTAAACCCCACAATATCTTTAGGAATACCCTGACCGTCGTGGCAAAACATTTCCATCACCCATTTTGCTTTTTGAAGCGAACCCATCTCACAAAACCCCTTGATGACTATATTACAAGTGAAAGTGTCCACAGCAACACCCTTCTTGACCATCTCGCTTACCAGCCCGAACCCATCTTCCACGAGCCTCTTTCTGCAAAAGCCCCATATGACAGTATTATAACCAACAGTATCACTCTCATTCTTCCTTAGCAACTCCATAGCCTGTTCGATGTTTCCTAATTTGCAGAGAGAATGCATCACTATGTTCCGGGTGTACACATTGGGAACAACTCCACAAGAGAGCATATCAGAGTAGAGAAGCATCACCTGGTCAACAGCACCAGAAGTGTTGAACTGGAGCAGCAGGCGATTCCAAGAACGGAGGTCGGGGACCAAATTGCAACCGCGCATGGCGGAGAAAGCGGCCTGGGCCTTCGAGAACAGGCGGCAGCGGAGGTAGAGGTGGATGAGGGTACAGAAGAAAGACACATAAAGACGACCCTTTTCCGGTGCTACCCGGAGTTCTGAATGCGGGAAGTAGGAGCAGACCCTTGATTGCTGCGCCATTGAGAGTGAAAGAAGATTCTTTCGTCTGCTTATAAGGTGTTTGATAAAATGCCTCTGTGATGTAATCATCATATGACTAATAACCCCTCCTCGACTTCCAGCAATGTCTCTGGTAGAGTCATCTATGATGAGTGCAGGGGAATGAGGTTTTCTGCAACGAAAGTTTAACTTCAGAACGTTGGAGTTCTAAGCTCATTTTCTCTCCCAACCAAACTGTACAAAATGCTTTTTTTGTGGAAAAGAAAAAAGAGGCTAGAAAACATAAATTTCAATACAATGAATCTCTCATGAGAAAAAAAATGAGAAGGATGGATTTTTCCTTGCCTTTTCTTCTTTTACTTCTCATTTCTCACTATTCTCTTATTATTTTTTATTAATCTAAACACTAATTTTCCAGAGTTGGAGTGTAGAACTACATGCATTTGATTTTGATTATTTGACACTAATCAAATGCTATTTGAACTGTGCCAAAAACCTTGTGTTATGATAACATTAAGTTGATTTTTTCAAAATGGGACATTGTGATTCAATTTCAGTGTATGAAGAGATCCTACAATTGTAAAGGAGTTACCAGTGCTGAAAATATTCTTTGAAGCAAGACAGTTACTAAAGTATTACAGAATACATCAAAACAAAATAAAAAGAGACAATATTTTCAATTAGCTCTGATCTTGACAACATGTTTGTTTGAAAGAAAAATAAAGGCAAAGAATGAATATACTCCCTCCGTTCAAAAATTATATTCCTCTTGCACGTTACGATGTTTGACTGAAGTTGTTTTCAAATCGTTGTATATGAAAATGGTGTAGAATTTAAAAATAAAAATTATATATCTAAAAACTACATCAAAAAATTAACAAAACTAGAAGTGACATGACTATATTATTTTACCAAATAGGTAACGAAAATAAGCCAACAAAATAAATAAAATTTGTTCCTGTGAATAGTGAACAAAAACATAATTTCTGGACGGAAGGAGTAAAAAGAAATGTTATACTCCGTATTCCTTTTGTATAGGAAAATTGGGAGGTGAGAAAAAAAATACTAAATTCGACCTAAATCTAGAAGTAGTTTTGTATAATCGATCAAATCCAGGAGTATTGACATAATATTTCTAATAAAATAAGGATAAAAATGTTCTTTTATATTATCACATTTTTTTTCTTCTTACTTTTTCATCCAACCAAATGAAGAAAAAAATACTCATCTTTTTTCTCAACCTGTGGATAACTAGGTTGAGATTTTGGGCATGTGAGATGACATGATGTTGACGCCCTAATATGTATATGCGACAGACGTCCATTTGAGTGGGAGCATGAGGAGAGGTAAACCTAAGAAGAATTAAAATCATGTGATGAGGCGAAATTTGAGACTTCTTGTTCCTATTGATAATATAATCATATATACGAGCATTTGGAAAGATAAGATTAGAGTACTCACGTAGATACTTCAGGCTAGGGATAGTCTTTTGTATTTGTTGTGTGTATCATATGTTTGGTGCTTTAGTACTTTTCGTTCGTTAACTTTAGTTTATTCTCATATGTATTGTATCTATACTTTCTCTAGTTTATTATCTGACTTGTGAGATATTATCTCTTATGATCTTTCCTCTGTTTTATTATCTTTAAGGATCTTTTTATTTGTGAAGCTTGAGCCGGGATCTCTTGAAAACAACTTCTCTACTTTCAAGTAATGGCAAGATCTGCATACACATACCCTCCATAAACCTTACTTTCATATGACCCAACATGATAGTTGTGTCTTGTCTTTTCATTTTCTACTCGTCCAAACAATGTATTATTTTCACCTTGTTTTATATTTTCATTTTCATTCTTCATATTTTCTTCTACCTCATGACTTATCGGGTAAAAATGAGATTACAAATATACTATGTCTTACCAACCCACTACTTTGTTGGGACCAACACTCCGCTCTCTTCTTTATAAATTAATTTTATCACTTTCTTTTTTGAGTTATCTCAAAATAAATGATTCATATTGATTTTCTCACGACTCCATGAAAATGAATCAAACAATTTCATTTTTTTAAAACTGCTAACCGAAATCAGCGGAGGGAGATAGAATCATTGGGATTGATGAAAGGCCAATGATAGTCTGCAAGGCGGCCGCTAAAGAACGGACGAAAACGTCGCGTGGGGTCATTTTGTTTTTGCACTCTCAAATCCAGATTATTCGATTATTTCTGCCTTTTTTTCTAGGAACTTTCTAACATTCGAAAGTTAATTTACGCAAATTTCCAAATTTTTACCATATGTTTTTATTTTCCAAATTTTAGTACTACATTAAAAAATAATATATGTTTTAATACTATTTAATGCAAATTTCATAATTCGAAAAGGAGATATTTTCATGTGACATCAACCTTTCCACCAACGGAAAAGTAACAACTTTTGAATTTGGCATGCTATATTAATTATTAACCTCATTCTTGACATCATTGCCTTCACAGATATTACGGGCACAAAACACTGTTCTGTCTGCATAACGTCTGTGAAGGCAATGAAATCGAGGTTAATATAAAAAAAATTTAAAAAAAATTGAAGACAAAGAGAGAGAGTGTGTGTGGAAGAATCCAATGCGCCATGGAGGCCGGCTAGCTGTCAACACGATACTACGTAGGTATATTATTATTATTATTATTATTATTATTACCTCACGGACGCGTTCAGCTCTGGATGGCCTCCCGGCCCCCTTTAAATTGCCTCATCATATACAAATTTTTATTAACCTTTTAAGTAATTACCTTTCATATTATATGGCTACTGTAAGTGTATATCTATCTATCTATATAGCTCAAATCTTATTATTAAAAACACTTCTCTTTTGTTTCTCCTCAGTTCTTTGCAAATTTTTTTAATATAAATTTTTAGTGAAAAAGATCAGAGGTTTTTTTTTATTTTAGTTGGAATTGTTTTGACCATACTTTTTTTTTTCTTAGCTTATTATTATGTGAAAATTGATATTGTTTTTTTGATGAACTCAGAGGGTGGAGCTTAAGGTAAACATTCACTGCCAAGAATGCATAAAGAAAATCTTGAAAGCCATCAAGAAAATTCATGGTAACTACAAGAGCCCAGACCACAATGAATGAATGTCATCTTAGACATTAACTGTTTATATTGTTTCAAATTCCAAAAAAAAAAAATCTTCTAATTTAATTTTCCTCAGTCGGAGTTTGTAAATTTTGATATCGATGCGCGGAAATATCATTATGGATTAACTAATGGGATTGCATGCGTACGTACAGATATTGAAACGTACGACGTGGACACAAAGGAAAACAAGGTGATTGTGACCGGGAATGTGACAAGTGATGAAGTGATCAAAGTTCTTGGTCGGATCGGGAAGGAGGCAACCCTGCTGGCTTAGCTTAGTTAAACCCAGTTGTTATCTGCTTAATTACTATCTAGCAGCCCATTCTCCAATTTTGAAGATAAATTAATCTACTTAATACTCATATAAATATGTAGGAATTGATTGCATAAATTAGGGTATTTTATTATACGGAGTACTATCTTCACCCCAATATATTTATATGTAGTTTTAATTTTGTGCCGCCTAAATTAATAAACTTTGATCATTAATAAAATAAAATTTATATTAGGTACACGAATAATTTTATTTGATTTATCTTATAAAATATTAATAATATTTTATATAATCAATATATTGATCATATACTTTTGATTCACTTATAGATCAAAGATCGATCTTTATTGATTGCAAAAGGTCAAAAAACTAGACGAATACTCTATTGAAAAGAAATAGTAATAAATTTTTTGTTGTGCGAAATTTTAAATAAAGTGTAGATTTGATCTAGGTTTGTCACGTTTATAAATGACTAGAATAGTAGCTATGAGTCTGTTTGGGAATAGCGTTAGAGATTAGCGTTAGCGTTTTGGATAAAATTTTAACGGTGCAGATTACTTTAAAAACGCTAACGCTAAACGCTGCCCGTAGATAGCCATTTCAAAACGCTAACGCTATTTCCAAACAGACCCTATGTGTTGCACGAACCGAAAGTTATCCAAACCTGGTAATTAGTTAATCATCTATATCATTAATATCAATATCATAATCGATATGTTTCCTTGCACGAACCGAAAGTTACCAAACATTGTGTAAATGGAACAACTTCATGGGGATTTTTTTAATGTTCTTGACTCGGTTAGAGTCTACGATCAGTTCATACTTTCTCGATTTAATGATGCACAATTAGCTAATATCTCCCCCACCACCGTTGACCAAATTAGGATAAAGTTTTCCATGAATCTTGGAAATCGGCTTCGTAACTCGGATCAAGCGAAACCCCCATGAATCTTGAGAAGAAAGATTAAAAAATAGAAACCATAAAGTTCACCATCCATGACAACCAACGAAGAAGAAAACTAAAGAAAAATAGAAATAATGTTGTAAATTGAAACTCTGATTAAGGGTTTGCTCCGTAGGATTTATTTTTTCTACTTATTACTTATTTTTATTAAAATCAGATCAGACATAATCAGATTAGATTCAATCAGATCAAGTCAAAGCCAATCATATTAGATCAGATCCAATCAGAATAGATCCAATTAGATCAGATCAGATTTAATCAGAGCAGACTAGATCTAATCAGATCAGATCAGAACAGATCAAATCCAATAATATTAAATCAGGAAAAATATAAAAATAATATTACGGAGTAATATTTTTCAAGGATTAAGTAATAATTACAATTTGATTAAATCACATTACTTTATTTAAAGCTACACACACTAAAATCTTAATTAATATCATAATTTTAAATATAGTAGTAATACGGAGTATTATACTTCACATACAAACCATTATTTTTAGTAATTGTTTAGCCTGTAGGAATGATGCATGGAAACAATGTTAAAAGTTTATAAGTTTTATTTTTTATATTTTAAAATAGTTGTTTATTGTTTATAAAAAATTATACAAAACTTAGTTTTTAAAATCACAAATACTTTTATACCTAAAACACTCACTCTTAAACTGTATAATGGCATAATATACAGAAGAGTGAGCTTATGAAAAAATTCTTAGAAGTGAAACAAATATTAGTGTTTAAATATTTGGTTATTTTTGTAGAATAGCATCTATATTTTTTAATATTTTGTTATTTTAATATCGAGTAATAATACACTTTGTTCACTATATAAATAAAAACTGATTATTCAATGTTCATATATATAAAAAACGTTTAAATATAACAATGATTAGTTGATTTTATACACACACACACACACACATGTATGTATGTATATGTATATGAATTGTGATACTTTAAAAGTATTAAATTTTGTAACAATTTTAAGTATTAAATTTAAGGGAGAAATACGAAAATAGCACTTTAATAGCCTTATAATACTCGAAATAGCAGTGCTATTAGTTTTTGGGATGAATTCCCGTTTTTGTCCTCAAATAAACTCCCAAAATTAGTATGAAATTCTCTGCTCTTCACTGCCACAGTATGTTTGAGATTGAATGTAGTGCCCTAACACATATAACACTGCCAAAAAAAAGAGCAGAATTCATTTTAAGCCGTGACCTTTTATTTTTTTATGGTAATTATACACTACAATATATNGCCAAAATTACAATGCCTTTCAAAAGACCTAATTTTTCAAAAGGGACAAATACTTGGTATTTCAAAATTGATTTCACAACATACACCTAATCTTCTATATGAAGAAAACACAATAATTAATACTAAAAATACAGGGAAATCCGAATGAAAGGATGAAGGAATGAAAATTAAAAACTGAAGGAGAAGAGAAAATGATTAGCGACATCAAAGATTGCCACTACTAATCGCCAAGGAATCATGGGCGAAGGACTGAGGACGCATCATCGCCGGCGAATGGAATGAGAGACCGTGGAGTTCAATAGCGTGTGAGAGAACGGAAGGAGAGATTGGAGTTGAATGCCGTAATTTTTAATGAAAAACAAAAAAAGGGGTAAAGGGTATGATAGGAAAGGATTGACACCATAAATTGCTATGTTTGTTAAAAACAATGAGTGGTGCTAAATGCGTAATTTAGGGTGAGTTAGAATGCTATGTAGGGTGATTTCTTTAAATTTAAATTCATTTACACCAAATTTAATCAGATAAAATCCAATCAAATCAAATTCAATCAGATCAGATCAGATTCAAATAATTCAATCAGATTAGATTCAACCAGATCAGATCTAATTAGATTGGATCAGACCTAATTAGATCAAATCAGATTTAGTTAGATTAGATCCAATCAGATCATATTAAATCTAATTAGATCGGACTAGAACTTAAAAAATTCGGATCCGATTCAATCGTATCAAGCGTACATAACAGAGCCTAAAGTGGCACGACCCGGGGTTTCCGCCATTCATTTGATAAAATAATACAAAGTATAATCATGTGAGCACTACTTTTGTAGTTTTTTTGATGTAGTTTTTAAACATGTAATTTTTATTTTTTTAATTCTAAAATATCTTTTTCTTATAAAATAATTTGAAAATAATAGAGTTGTAAAATAAAAAATGGACTATTTTTGTAGCTTTTTTAATGTAGTTTTTATATATGTAATTTTTATTTTTTTTTAATTTTACACCATTTTTCATATAAAATGATTTGCATGCGAGCCTCGCAAGCGCCGAGAATTTGCTTCTTTCTTTCAAATCCTTCAAATCAGCGCCAAAAACCCTAAATCAAAACATTTCCCCATTCTTGGCGCCCAAATGGTCCCGACCACCACTCTCTTCATCCACTCGTCTCTTCTGTCCAGAACTGTTGATTCGCCGATCAATTGGAATGGCGAGTGGAAGAAAACGGCGGAGACGACGCAAATCTACGACACAGGGGAAAATACCGCCGGCGAGGATGAAAAGGAACGAGAAGAGAAATCTGCGGAATCGAAGAAACCCATCATCGACACAGGGAGGACTAAAGTGAAAGAAGAAGAGGAAGAAGACTGCGTTTCATGGAGTCCAAAGGCCTGGAAGAAAACCACGGCTTCCAAGAAGAGCCAGGAAAGAGGAAGGCTAATTAAGTAATGCTAATGCTTGTGAAACAGGTGGTACTACTATTGCTAAATTAGGCTATTAATTTAATGAGATAGTTCTATTTGGAGTAACTTCCATAAATAGTCCCTAGTCATAGGTGGTATTCCATATTTAGTCCCTACTTATCAAATATTAGAAGGGTAGTCTTCATTTATTTGGTTCTTTTCCACGGCCAGTCCTCCATCTCTCCTGTTGTTATCTAACTGTTAAGTGCAAGTTTAAAAGGTAATTTTCCACCCCTGCTCTCAGTATTGTGGTTGGCTAGAGAAAGAATACAAACAGCGACAGTGTCCAGTTGCTCCATAGCCAATCCTTGGATTTTTTACTCTTTTCACGATTGAATGACCTCAAATCTTTTGTTTTTTCTCTGTCTTGTAATTCCAACCCTGGGTATCATAAGAATTGCTAGTTGTGTTTTGGTTCGTCGAAGGGCATTGGCCTAGCTTTTACACTATTCACCACTCTTTAGCTTCATTCTTTAGAGGAAGGGGGAGGGGTTTAGTTGAGAGGGGGTGAGAAATTACCTTTTTAACCCCGTACATAACGAATAGATAACAATATGAGTTACGGCTGTGGATGGGAACCAAAGAAGAAATGGGGACTATGCTTTGTAATATTTGATAAGTAGAGACCAAATATGGAAAAGTTTACTCATCTATTTGACTCTTTAATGCAAATTATATCTACTATTGCTATATCAGGTTATTAATGAGATAGTTCTTTTCAAATGCAGGTAATAATTAATATCCATGAATTCTTCAAGGGATACTCAAAAGGCCGATTTGATAGTTGTATGTGGCCTGAGATGTTGATTCTGAAAGACTATCCCCCGTCTACTGAATTTGAAAAAGTATTGCCGCGCCATGGTCTTGAGTTTATTCATACCCTACCATTTAAGGAGTACACACATCATAGCCTTGGACCATTGAACCTTGCTACAGGCAGTCTCTGAAGCCAGACCTGGGACCAATGACGTATATTGCTTATGGAACAACCCAAGAGCTTGGGCGTGGAGATTCTGTAACCAAGCTGCACTGTGACATGTCTGATGTGGTAATTTGTCTTTCCTAAATGTCTCCTAGTTATTTTGTACTAGTGGCTAGTGCTGATGCATGGCTGGACATGCTCTCATCTATTTTATAACTCCAACTCAAGAATAGATTACCAGAACTAGAATACTCTGTATTATTCAGAGCTCAAACACCTACTGAAGTGGGAATCAGCAGTCCAGAATATTCGTTTAGTATTCCTTTTTGGGACGTCCCACAGTATTGTCCACTTTCCTTTTATGGTACAACGACAACAACCCATTTGAATCCCACAAGAGTAGGGTCTGGGGAGGGTGTGTGTATGCACACCTTACCCATAAAAGTTGAGAGGCTGTTTCCAAAGAGACCTTCAGCTTAACGTCGAAAGTTGCATTGATTGACTAACTGCTACTTCATTAATTAAAGAAGGGCACATAGTTTAGAGATCCATTTTGCTTTATTCCACGACACCCCAAAGCCAAAAAATGGTTTATTTTTGGCTCCATCGAAGGTGATGGTAATTTTTTAAAAATGAAATGGCTATTTTACCCCAATCATTAATTCCACAACCACCCAACCCACCAAAACCCATTTACTCCTACCCTCCATATCAAGGTTGTCCAATGTTACACATGTTCATATGGTTTACGTGCAGGTCTGTGTTGGGTCTTTTATTTACAACAATAATCCAGTTGGATCTCATGAGAGTAGATTCTGGGAAGGGTGTGTGTACGCAGACCTTGCCCCTACTCAAGAGTAGAGGCGGTTTCCTGGAGACCCCCGGCTGTGTTGGGCCTTTTATTTATTTATTTCAATTAATTAATCACGATTTATTTATTTATTTATTCATTGATGTTTTTTTGTAGCTGCTGCGCTCTTTTTTTGTAGCAAACTTTATGTGAGGTCAAAATTACTTTGTTGGATAATTTGGATCATCACATGGGCCCAACCTCAGTTCTTCATGTTCAAAAATGATTTCCTTTTAGATTTGTCTCTTCGGGCTGTAAGTTCTGAAATGTGTGGGGTTGCTGATAGTTACAAGACTGAGCTACCTTTTTTTTTCTGGTTTTATTTTGATTTTTTGTTTGTTTCTGTGTTTGTCCATGGTGTGCTTTTGTATCATTCATCTTGTCAGTGTAAAATTGGAGAAATAACACATCTCTACTAATAAATGCTTTTGCTAAATTATTACTGTCATGTTGAATTTTTTATTTTATCCTTGAACAATAAATTGTTATACTCCGTACCATTTTGATGTTGCAAGTGAACATATGCATTTGCATCTAATCTTCTATCCTTGACCCTTTTACATTTATTGTTTGAGCTTGTCCTTTATAGATATAGATAGCCCATAACCATTCCCCTATGTTTGATCTCATATGATGTATTTTTAGGTTGCATAATTTTGTTTCAATATCCAAATTTATCCATTCTTTCCACATATTACTTTTTTAGGTGAATATTCTGACACATAATGCCAAAGTGTCCATTACACATGACCAGCAAAGAGAAATTGACAAGTTGAAACTGAAGCACTATGCTCAAGACCAAAGAGAGATATTTAGAGTCAACCAAGCTTACCAAAGTGCTGAAAAAGACTTGCATGCTGGTTCGTCTAGTAACGGAGTTGGTAAAAAGCATGGTAGTGTTGAATCATCCGGTCTCCCTCAACAGGATAACTATGGTGTGGATGCTGGGTTAGTCAAGCCTGAATCTCCAAGGGTATCTGAGAAAACCAGTAAAGACTCAAATATAGTTGATGGTTGCATCATTGGTAATGCTGGAACATCTTCAAGTTCTCACAGTAAGTTGCTGGAAGTAGCTGATGGTGGTGCTCTCTGGGACATATTTCGTAGAGAGGATGTTCCTAAGCTGTCGGAATACCTTAAGAGGCACTTTAAGGAATTCAGGCACATTCATTGCAATCCAGTGCCTCAGGTAGATGCCAATAAATCTTATTGCAGTATTGTTGTGGTTGCTTCTTTGTTTCTTAATAACACTCAATCTGTTTCTTTACATTGTTATGGAGAGATCTATAGACTAAGAACATTTTAGCATAATGCACTTTCTAAATGGTGGAGCAGATGAGTTAATTGTTACTCCGTATTAATTTATTATTTTCTACGTAGTAGTTAACTGCTTAAATTATGGTTGCAACTGATTCAATTTTTCAATAATGATTTATGTCTGATTTGGGTGCAATGGGAAATTGGTTTTACTTTTTTCTCAATGCATGGATCTGTTTTTCTCATGAACCTTTTTTTTGGCGATACAGGTGGTCCACCCTATTCATGACCAGACAATGTATTTGAGTTTAGAGCACAAAAGAAAATTGAAAGAGGAATATGGTACTGTACTGGTTCTTTCACATCTCTTTGATATGTGTGGGAATTTAATAGTTGTTATGAAGTACTCCTTCGGTCCTATTTTTGGGACATGAGGGAGTGACACAAAATTAAGTAAAGTAAGATTGTGTGATTGATATTGATTTCAAAAAGTAAGATGAAGTAAGAACGATCGTGAATCATACAAATCTGACCAGATATGATAGGGGGAAAAATTAGTGGGACGGACATACAAGGCAAAAGAGAAAAAATAGTGGGATGGAGAGAGTAGTCTTTAGTACCCGTATATTATTTCTGTATGAAGATGATAGTTACATTCTTTGCAATTTGTAGGTATTGAACCATGGACATTTGTTCAAAAACTTGGAGATGCTGTGTTTATTCCTGCAGGGTGTCCATATCAAGTGAGAAATCTGAAGGTAAAAGTCTATTTTAGTTCACGGTTTCTTTTTCTTATGAACACTTGTGCTCAGCTTCAAATTTTAATGGTATGTCCTATGTACATGATTGTATTTTATAGTATGCAAATCTCAATCAATAATATCCATCTAATTTTGAGTTCTCGTTTCCTTCTTTAAGAGAAATTATTAGGAGCAGCGTGGTGCTAGCGTGTTAGTTAGTGAGCATAAAATGTTAGTTAGTGAACATGGAACACCAGAGTGCCACACATGGTAGCACGAGGGTGTTCTTAATAGTTTTTCCATTTTTACACCGTGTTTGGTTCGTGGAATTTGAAAGGAAAGGAAAATAGAGAGGGTTTCTCTCCTTTTTCCCACTAAAACAGAAGAAAAATCATTTTCCTTTTTCTTGGTGCATTTTCTTTCCCCATTTTCTTTACTTTTATTAAGGTTCTTGGATGTTAAGTATCTGTTTGTTTGCATTTTTGCAGTCCTGTATAAAGGTTGCCCTTAGTTTTGTCTCACCTGAGAATGTAGGGGATTTTATTCGATTGACAGAGGAGTTCTGCCTCCTCCCCCCAAACCATGAGGTTAAGGATGACAATAAACTGGAGGTATGATGGCTTTTCCTTCCATTTGGTTTCTATTCCCAGTTTCAATTGTCATCATCTTGATTGCCATGGCTTTTGAATGGTTTGGCGTATAGGCTTTGAAATTGAACTGAAACACGAGTTGATTTAAATATCTGTGGAGTTTGTGCTGTGTTTGTTATTTAATTGATTTAAGTATACCAATATTAAGTGTCTTTCTTAGGACTAATTTAGTGTAATTGACTTATTGTTGTTACATTATTATTATTATTATTATTATTATTATTATTATTATTATTATTATTATTATTATTATTATTATTATGTGCAAGAAATGGATTTTTTGTTATGCTCTGGCCAAACTTGATATTTTCGTGGAGACAGGTGAAGAAGATGATACTATATGCTATCAATCAGGCTTTGGAAGTTTTGGGTATTAGAAGTTTTGGGCATTCAAATATGAAGTGAGTGATTATGTTTTTTTAAGATTTATGATCCTATTTGATGCTGTTGTTTTCCAACAAGAACTGCCTTCCGAATAATGACTTTGAAAATATTGGCCTATTTGTGAATTCGCTTGCAACCTAATGCACAGCCCTGCTCCCTAGATTTTCTTGCAAAAAATGTCAAAAAGACGTTTTGAACCGAAGTGTTTTTCATTCAAAATAAAAATTCTAGTGTTGTTGAATTTAAGCTTGAGTCTTCATACATTTCTGTTAATTGAAGTGTTGATCATATCAATTTTAATAAACAGGAATTGTTAAATTTCTTCAGTTGGATTTGGATAAAAACTCGGACACTTAAGGTGTTCTTCAATTCTTAGGATAAAGATTTGTTTTTTCCCCATCTAAATTATATATGAACGGTTGTTCGAGATGAAATTGGCGAGTAAATTACTCGTATAACATTACAATGACTTTTTTTTCCTTGCATCTCACAGTACAAAGCAAAGACACGAAGATCAGCGAAATCCAAGAAATCCAGAAAATAGCTGTACTCAAGACTCTATCTAGCATGGTATTTGCGAAAAAAGCCGTGTATCTAATCTTTTGACCACTTTTGATCTTTATCAAGTTTTGAAAGCTTGGGATGCAATGGGAGAAACTAATGTTAAGCACTCTAAAGACATCCAAAAAAATTGAAGTTCATTTGGCCTAGTCCAAATCAATCCACCTCTCTCAATCGTTGTTTGGCACCTTGACTTGTCTTTGGTTTATCTATCTTAGTTATAATTGTTGATCAATTAGAGATGCCCCTCGATTTATATGATTCTGATAATACATAAAAACGCCTTCGTGATGGGAGTTTGGGGATAAAATCTTTTCTAGGTTTATAATTACAAAGTTGAGCTTATGGTTGAGTTAATTCTTTGACACCATCTAACCATTCATTGGATGCTTCTGGTGGAAAGACAAACAACTAATGTTCTATGCTTTGTTTGTGTTGGGGAAACAAATATTATCGACATCAGTGTCTATTATTGTGGTAAAGCAAGATCCAAGTATAATAGAAACTCCTTAAGCGCCTATAATATACTCCGGGTACGATTGAGTGTTGAATTCTTTGAGAAAACTTGCAGGTGTAGCCAGGTGTGGAATATATATATATATATATATATATATATATATATATATATATATATATATATATATATAGTCATGGAGGGAGAATAATTAAATCGCTTACCCTTGGATTTGATCTATTAATGGAGTTTTCAAAAGATTATTAGTGTTATTTGAAAAGGGTTAGCAGTGCAACTTGTATATTTTCCTTTGATGTTTTAGTGAATTCATTTATATCTATATTCTTTTATAAAACTTTTACTCGAGTAATATAATTTCTAAATATAAAATTTTATTTTTTATTTTTATATACCAACATTCAAATTAAATAAATTAAAAACATTTCATTTTATCTTGTAGATTGCGGATGGAGGGAGTAAAAAGGGAGAAGCTAAAAGAAAAAAAAAAGAGAAATACTACGTAACATTTTTTCTAAGACGCGTAAATGAAATATTAAAGCACAACAAAATTCCGTACACGTGGCATCCACTCTCGCCTTCATGCACTTCCATTCCAACCCCAATTCATCAATAAGCAATGCAAAAAAGATTGACAATTTTTCCCTTCCTCTTCTTCTTCATTTTTTCCCCTCGAGCAATCAATCATTATTGCCGTCGATCTCCGAAATTAAAACCGCCGCCGCGCCGGGATGGACATGCGGGTGCCGCCACCGCCGGGACAGCTACCCGGTGACCCGGAGAACAAATGCGAGGCCATAATACACATCCATTCGCCCGGGGTGTGGGACGTGGGGGACCCGAACTACCCGAGAGGACTCTTCGACCATACGCTCCCCCTTCTCCTCCTCCAATTGTGCATCGTCTTTGCCCTCACCCAATCCCTCTATCTCCTCATCAAACCCGCCCGTATGCCCCGCATTGTTGCCGAACTTCTGGTAATCAATAACATATCCCACAAACTTTGATCGTTAATTAAACTATGCAGTTCAAAAAAACGTGTGCTCGTCCTTTCAATTCCATCCATTCCATGTTCTGATGTTACAATCGATTATCTTTTCATTGATTTATTTTGATGTAAAAGAAGAAAAATAATGTTTGTTTTGCAAAGTGCAGGCAGGGATAATACTGGGTCCTACAGTGCTGGGGCAGATACCTGGCTTTACAGACAAGATCTTCCCTCCGAAAGGGCATGTGTACCTAGACTTGTTGTCCAAAATAGGATACATCTTCTTCATATTCCTCAGCGGGGTGAAGATGGACCCCACGCTGGTCCTAAAATGTGGGAGAAAGGCTTGGACCATAGGAGTCTTGGCCGTCGTTCTTCCCTTTGCTGTTTTCTCCAACTTCTCTGCACAGCTCACCAACTACCCTTCAATCCATAGGTAGGTACCCTAAAATAATAATTAGGGCACTCTAATTACCCAAAACTCATAATTAGAATTGCTCACAATATATAAATCTGGTTTATAATTACAAGTTTGAACTTTTTGCTGACTTGGCGTGAGATTATACTATATTCTCTGGGGAACAGGTATAGAAGGGTGGCCATAAAGTCCATCTTCTCCATTCAATTCCTCTCCTCCTTCCCCGTCACCGCCTCCCTCCTCGTCGACTTGAAAATAATCAACTCCGAGCTGGGCCGCCTGGCCCTCGCCGCGGGGTTGGTCAGCGACTTGCTGAGCAACGCCGGGTCGTCTTACTTCTCGTACGTCAAGATTGCGACCTCGTCCGTGCTGCCGGTGATGTCGTTGCAGGCGTTCGTCCTCACCTTCGGCGCCTTCGCCTTCATCTTCTCCATCGTGCGCCCGCTGACCGCTTGGATCATCAAGCGGACGCCCGAGGGGAAGCCCGTGGACACGGCATTCGTCGTCCTTTTGTCGTTTTTCGTCTTCTTCGCAGTGGTCGTCACGGACAACGTGGGCCTGAGCTACCAGTACGGCCCGTTCATGCTCGGACTGATGATCCCGGACGGGCCGCCGCTGGGGTCCACGCTGGTGGAGAAGCTGGACACGATCGTGACGGGGCTGATGGCGCCGCTGTTCTTGACATATTGTGGACTGAAGGTGAATCTGGTGGAGCTCTATGACCTCTACTTTGTGATAGTGGTGTTGGTCACCATTTCAGTGTCACTTATGGTGAAGTACATGGCAGTTTTCTTTCCAAGCCTGGCCTGCAATGTCCCTCCTAAAGATGCCCTTTCCCTTGCCTTCATGATGAACACACAAGGCATTGTTCAAATGTCTTTCTATTACAACAATATCATCAATCAGGTCTGTATATGCTTTTTGAGTGTATCTGAGATCAATATATAATCTTCAAGTATGCCTATATAAATATTTAAATCCTCAAATGCTGATAATGACTATGGCCCTAAATTTGTTTTCTTTTTGGTACCCAAATATATATGAAATGCAGACATTTGATGCAGAAACCTTTTCCATGTTGACATCGTCGGTACTAATCACAGCAGCGGGAACGCATCTCCTCGTCGGCTTACTATACGACCACTCCAGCACCTACTCCGGCTACCGGAAAAGAAACATCGAGAACAGCTCCGCCACCTCCGAGCTGAGGATCCTCTCCTGCATCCACAGGCCGGAGGACGTGCTGGCAGCAAAGCGGCTGTTAGACTCCTCTTTCCCTTCGAAAGAGAGCCCCCTGTCGGTGTACGCCCTCCACATGGTGGAGCTGGTGGGGCAGGCCACCCCTTTGCTCATAGACCACCAGCTGGGGCAGAAACATTCGTCCCGAGTTAGCAACTCGCGGTCACAGAAGATCGTGGACATGTTCCAGTCGTTCGAGCTGCAACATGCCGAGTCTGCGACCGTGCAGTTCTTCACCGCAATATCAATGCCGAGGTTCATGCACCACGACATTTGCTCCTTGGCTTTCGACAAGCTTGTGTCTTTCATTATCCTTCCCTTCCAGAGGAAGTGGAACAATCAGGTGAGAGAGCTGGTTCTTTAACATGGTATCAGAGTTTTGCTAATGATCCTGAATTTGTAACTCCACAATCGTCATGTTTTACAATGTTTCATCAGGGTAGGATGATCTCAGACAACCCGGTGGTGAGAACCATTAACACCAACGTTCTCGACATGGCCCCATGCTCGGTCGGCATTCTGATAGACCGACACAAGATCAGGAAACAGGTGGGGACCGTCGGGTCTGCGTACCGCGTGGCGGTGGTATTCATGGGCGGGCCCGACGACAGGGAGGCCCTGTCGTACGGGAAGCGCATGTGCGGGTCCCCGGACGGCGGGGTCCAGCTGACCGTCTTCCGGTTCGTGACGCTGAACCCGTCGGAGATGGGGGAGAACCAGTGGGACGCGGTGCTAGATGCGGAGATACTGAAGAGCGTGAGGCTGTTGGGGCAGCAGCAGGACAATGTGGCGTACAGGGAGGAGAGGGTGGCGGACGGGGCGGAGAGTGCCCTGATAATACACGCCATGGAAGGGGTGTTTGACCTGATCATCGTCGGGCGGCGGCACAAGGCGGACTTGACCCAGCTGTCCGGGCTGACGGAGTGGAACGACCTGCCGGAGCTCGGCCCCATCGGAGACATGCTCGCCGCCGCTGATATTAGCGCTCCGGTTTCGGTGTTGGTGGTGCAGCAGCAGTCTATGAAGAACAGCAAATGATCTGCAAGTGTTTTGCTTCCTGTAGGACAGTACGTCTTTAATGTTTTAGGTTTTTTTTAAATATGCAAAAGTTTATGTATCCATGTGTAAAGTTTGGCCATTGCTTATAATAGAAGCAGAATTAGATGGACTCTCATTTGCATGGGGATGTTGTGTTTGTTGGGAGAAATTCCTATACCTAGTTTTGCCTACTCTCATTCAATCAACAGCGTTGTGGTCTCGAAGTTGGCATCTAGAAACGTTTTTCTGAAACTATTTTTTCATTTTTTTTAGTTATCGTATTTTTCATAAAAGTATATCAGATTGTATCAAATATTCAAACAAAACTATCCATACAACCAATACCATAAACTCCCTCTAGTGCCGCAAGTAATAAAAAAAACTGGTGTGTCGGTGAGACAAAGTTCAACGTTTGACATAAAGATGCTACAAGGGAGAGATCCCGAGTTCGAGTTTGAAGGTTGGAGGCTCCGATGTAGGGTTGTAAATGAATCAAATATTTTTTGTTCGATTTGTGATTCATATTCGTTTAAGGTGATTCGTATTCGATTTTTTCAAATCCGAATACGAATACGAATCGGAATAAATATTCGAATCCTTATCGAATACGAATATGAATCAAGGGTATTCGATTCTTGAGTTTGACAAATATATTCGGAATATAAATCTAATGATACAAATTATATATATATATATATATATATATATATATATATATATATATATATATATATATATATATCAAATGGTTATAAAATATTTTAAAATCTAAATGAACTAAATATATTTAAACAAATTAAATACTTAAACGAACCGAATATGTTTAGTATATTAAACGAACCGAATACGAATCTTAAAAAATATTCGAATCGAATTCGAATTCGAATATCACTCCATCTTAACGAATATGAATATTTTTCATGAATATTCGATTCGATTCGGTTCGTTTACAACCCTACTCCGATGTGAGGCAAACATACATAACATGTTAGTGATTTTAGTGTCATCGGTTTATTTTGTGTAATTGGATTTACTTAGATCGGACAAGAACTTTAATAGACGTTGTCAAACGAGTTAGGAGGCGCGGAGTGCGCGCTCGTTCAATGATATTACAAATTTATTGCGGGGGTCCGGGGGCGGCACCCCTCGGGTAGCGGGGTCTAAGGGGCGGCAGTCCCTGGCGGGGTCCAAAACCGTAAAGGACTCCAACGAGTGGATAACGTCAAAATTTACTCCAAAAGCCGCAAGAACTTCTCACGCCTCTTCTCCGCGCGAACGTACGCGTACGTTTACGCGAACGATCATGTCCGATCAAGAAATTTTCGACTCTATAAAATAGAGTCTCGTGGTATGGATTGAGGATAGATTTTCGAGTACTTGTTCTTGATTAACGTCTTATCCGATTGAAGTATTTCGTATACCCCAAAATAACTTTGATCTGAAAGCGTTTTACACGCGATTCGTTATACTATCGAGTTCTTCGCTTAACACTCCTTCGGAGTGTTCTTCAATAAATAAATCCAACATAACATGGGTCATTTGCAAGCACTTGACACGGAACCCCACCTCAAAAAAAGTTCGGAGGCATGATTTTTCTCTAAGAATAAGGAAAAGTGTGATTTTTGTTTCAGGACAAATCAAAACTGAAAAATACAGTCAACTCACGGGCTCAGGGACTATAATACGACATTGGTGCCCTATGTCATACTCTGTATTATTATATTGGTTCATTTGAGACCTTAGCTTACAATACTCTCAAAATGATTTTTACCCCCGAACCCCTCCTTGAGGCCCCACCCCCTAATCCACTACCTACACCTCACCCTAGGCCCTCTAGGCCTCCTCTTCCTTTGAATAACAATCCACTCATTTGATGCTGAAATGTCACTCAAAAGAGGGAGGGCTTAAGGTGGCTGGGGTGGGTATAGGGGCGGCAGACTAGGGAGTGAGAATTTGATGAGATAAAAGCTACTTCAGGATTGAATGCCACAATTACTATTTCGACTTTTTGATAACTTTTGTTTGTTTGCTCATTTTAGTTGACCATGTGATAAAATAAAATATTCTTACCACATCTTGTTTTGTAAAAATTTTTATGTGCTTTTGAACGGTGTAATTTTTTACTTTTTATTTCTCTATCCATTGGTAAAAGAGATATATTTTGCATGTTGTTCGAAATGTTGTAAACAATTTGGGACGGAGGGAGTATAAAATTTACATACTTCTTCCGTCCAAAAAAATTCTTCCCAATTTGACTTTCTTTGCCAATTTTTTTATAACTTTGACAACAAATTACATAAAACATAAATTGAATTATCATACTCTATAAGTTTAATATCAATAGATTCATTTTGAAATATATATAAATATTAATGCTCAAAGTATTACACCCAGTAATATTTAAAGGGTGTATCCTGTCATTAGTATCTTAAAGTCAAGTTCAAGAAATTTCCTGCAGCTTTGCAATGGACAATTGACCATACATATAGCATCTTGTGGCTCGTGGCGGGGAGATCATTTAGAACCAAAAGACAATCTTAAAGTTGTGTGGCAATGCATTCTTTGGATAAATAGACCACATATGTATGGTTAACCATGCTTGACCCAACATCACTAGCCTGCACATGCATTATGAGGCAATTAAACAAACAAAAAATGCCCTTTCTCCTCTTTTGAACCTCCGTGCATGTCCTTCCATGAATGCTTTGGAGACCACAACATTTTTTTTCTTAGGATGAACAAAGAGAAAGTGATTGTTCATCAATGGATATCAGGCATCACTCTGCGTTTGGGGTCGTCAAAGAAGCCGGCAACACCTCCATTGTATGCCAAAACCCGAACAAGGGTGCCCCTAAAGGCATATGGCTCGGCTACGAGAGCCCTTTGCAGTACACCACCCCTTTGTTCATGGCCCAGCTCACCCTCGTCTCCTTATCCTGCTTGCTCATCAAGTATAGCCTCCGTCCTATGCGCCAACCCTCCATTGTTCCCCAAGTTCTCGTAAGCATTTTCTCGAAACTCGGAAAATTACTTTGCAAAATCAGTATCTAGTAAAAAACTTTGTATATGGATGTTTCTTGGGAATAGCCTTTCTCCTTACGAATAGGGGTAAGGTTGCGTACTTTGAGTGATTCTACGGGGTTATTGTTGCTTGTGTATATGAATGTCTAACAATGATGATAATGATGATGCAGAGTGGGGTGCTTTTAGGTCCATCAATCTTGGGACAATTCGAGTTGTTCCGGCACACTTTTTTCCCGAGGGGGAGCCTCATGATCTTCGACACGATGGCAGGGTTCGGAGTGTTGATCTTCCTCTTCGGGGTTGGGGTAGAGATGGAGACAAAACGGATGCTAAAGCCGAGCCGGTCAGTGGTGGCCCTAGGCATCCTAATGATAGCGGGAGGGTGCTCGTTCATGGTCCCGCTATCCCTTCTACTCAGACGCCTCATCGAAATGGACCCCAGCCTGAAACGCACCCTCCCGTACATAGCAGCGTCCCAATGCACCACCGCCTTCCCTAGCATTTGCCCTTTTCTCAAAGACCGAAAGATCATCAACACGGGCCCGGGTCGGATTGCCATCTCTGTCTCCCTCTTCTCCGAGGTCATTGGCATGTCATTGGCGGTTGTGAACTACGCCTTCCAACCCCTCATGCAAAACCGCGTGGGCCACCCCTTACTGAACTCCATTGGTGGGCTCATCTCGATGCTCTCTTTCTTGTTCGTCTTGGTGTGCGTGATCCGCCCTCTGATCGTCAGGATCATCACTCGTCTCCCGCAAGGGAAACCCGTAGGAGAGTCATGCATCATGGGGTTTTTCGTCCTCTTCCTGGCATGCGGGTTGCTGACCGAGGTCATCGGTCAGCATTTCGCAGTCGGGGCACTCGCGGCGGGCATTATCATCCCTCCGGGCCCGCCGCTAGGGTCAACCATAATCGAGAGGTTGGAATATCCCATCGCGATGTTCTCTTACCCGACCTTTCTTGCCGCGAGCGGACTCAAAACCGACATCTTCACTATCCACGCCACGAGCTTGCTGGTTCTGTGCATTGTGGTGGTTTTTGCAGCGCTGTGTAAGGTGGTGATAATGGTGGTCATCGGCAGATTCATGGCCATAAGCTTTACGGAGTCTGTTGTTGTTGGTCTTATGTTAAATGCAAAGGGACCCACTGAGCTCATCCTCTTCAACCTCTGGAAGGACATCAAGGTAAATATAAATAATACAGTAGTATGACTAAAGTTACCCTGTTTGTCTAAACTGGGGGGTTTCTCATATAAATCGCTCCCTCATTACAGCCTGTTTGAGTGAATCTGCAGATTCTCAATGATGAGGAATTCACGCTGGTTGTGACGGTTTGCGTGGTAGGAACCATGGTGGTGCAGACGCCATTGATATGGTTGTTGCTGAAATCAGTAGGGGATCAAACGCCTTTTAAGAGGAGAACAATACAACACCTAAAACAAGACATGGAGCTAAGAATACTGGTAGCCATCAAAGATCAAGAAACCCTTCCTTCCATCGTGAACATTCTAGAAGCTTCCAATGCCTCCGAGGAACGTCCGGTCGCTGTCATAGCTCTCATCCTTGTGGAGCTTGTGGGCCAGGCGGCTCCGATCCTCATCGCCCACCAATCCTCTCAACGGAATCTCCACGCGGACACTTCATCCTCCGCGCAAATCATCAACGCGCTGAGACAGTACGAGCTCAACAATGAGTCCACCGTGACCGTCCAGCCGTACACGGCTGTGTCACATCCTGAGATCATGCACGACGACATATGTAGGTTGGCAATTGACCAAAATGCCACCCTTTTGATCCTCCCGTTTCATAAGCACTGGGCGATTGACGGTTCCATTGGAACCGTCAATAGAGCCGTCGAACACATGAACTCCAAAGTCATGGAGAAAGCGCCATGTTCCGCCGCAATTCTTGTGGACAAGGGGACCTTAACCGGTTCCTTAACAATATTGAACAGCCAATCCATTTATAACGTGGCCATGATCTACATTGGTGGTGCCGATGATGCAGAGGCCTTATGCTATGGGGCCCGCATGGCGAGGCACGCTAATGTGAACCTCACCGTGCTACGGTTTCTCTTATTTGGGTATGACAATGCCCGCGAGAGACGTCTGGATAATGACATCATCGAAGCCATTCGCTACGCAAACGCTGGAAACCAGCATTTCAGGTACCATGAACATGTTGTGAGGGACGGCGAAGGATTCGTCGCTTCACTTAGGAACATGGAAGATGTTTTTGATTTGTTGTTAGTGGGGAGGAGCCACCAGGACTCTCCGTTGCTAGAGGGGATCGGGGCATGGATCGAGTGCCCCGAGCTTGGGGCAGTCGGTGACTTCTTGGCATCATCAGATTTCAGCAGTACCGCCTCACTGCTGGTGGTGCAACAGCAGAGAATTGGTGGGAAGTTGGTCGGTAGAGCTACTAAGCCGGTGGTGGTTCACACCCAAGACTTTATGTTCGAAAACAATTCATCTAGGCATAGTGGGGTAGTGCCCCCGTCGTTCGGTAGGGAAAATTCTAGATGGGATAGGGTTTAGCATGATTTGTATCTCAGATCAAGTAGAGAACACACGTATATAACATTGTGTTTTACTTTTCAAGTATGCTCTTAGTTAAGGTGTATTGGAAACAGTCTCCTTACTACCAAGTAGAAGTAAGTTCTACGTACACAATCCTTGCCAGACCCTACTTTTTGTGGAATTAGATTGTGCCTGTTTTACACCACCCCAACGGGAAGATAAAAACGTGAAAAATAAAAAAAAAAGAGAAAAAGAGAACAGTTAAATTCTATCACCGTGTGTTATCCAGCCTCTCTTGCAGCTTCTGTTTAGTCTTCTCAAAAGCTTCTTCTAAAATCTGCATCTGAATATGGCCATTCACTTCAGTATCATTCAACTCTTTGTAATTAGCATTAGAGTTATGAATAGTAATTGTTTGATGATGCAGATTAACGAACAAAAACACTAAAGTTAATCCCTAACGCTAATATGACAAACAAGACATTACTTTTGGAGAGTAAATTGCATTTCGACATATATTGATTTTGGAGAAAAAAATCTGGAGATAGATATTTACCTGTTGCCTGGCGAACCTATTATGAATGAATAATCCGCTAAACAGGTCAAAACTGTCTTTTACAGTTCCCTCCTTCTGCAAGTAGTTCATCAAGACTGTATGTCTTATGATCATTACAAAAAAAAAATTATTTGAAGAGATATTTTTTTGTAAATACCACTTGAACAAGCTTCTGAAACCCCTTTGTGTCCAAGGGTGTTGGCTCAACCACCATTTCTGATAGGATCCTGCATTGAAGGCATACTTTAGCATGATTTGAGTCATTTGACACATTGCACTATGGGTTAAAGACAGTAATCATGTAATAGAATGGTCTAAACCAAATGATAAATTTTGAATTTAATAAAATAACACATAAGTTTCACGCGTTAACACATAAACTGAGAATTTAATAAAATAACACATGACTTCAGTTTACCTTCCAATAGTGTGAGTAAGAAACTGAGTGCGAGCAGCCAATTCGTCGTGCTCTTCGCAGCCCATTTCCAGCATCCTGCAACCCTGTCCGGACCGACCATCACATTGCCGCACCATATCAGCACACTACCCTACCACAATTTGTTCATTTTCAAACAGAACTGGTCTGGTGCCTTGCCTCACTAGAAAAGATATTTATGAAACTGGAACACAGAGCTTCGTCTCTTATTCGAACTTTGTCGTACATAAACGTCAGATCTTGCCAACCATTTTTCCCACTTTCGGGTCCAAACATTGGGTGCGTACAAAGCACGTCTGAATCCTCGGGAAGCACCTTCCATTCAAGAAGACATCATATCACATGTTAAGGTTAAATCATACAACATCATATCACATTGTTAAATAAGTCGAATTACTTTTTCATTGCGGAAATGCACTAATGTATTAAATAATGAACATCATACCGAAGCAAAAAATACATCATTCTCATTTCATTGTTTTGCATTAGGGTTAAGTAAATGTTGTCATGACTATAAATTGATTCATTTTGATCATTGGACTTTGATTTGGGGCAAATGAAACGGAAAGATCTCCATACCTGCAGAAGAAGATTTCTGGGATATTCCTTAACGGAGAGGCATAGAATTGATAACTTGTGATAGAGAGAGGATTGAAGTGCATATCAATACCACTTCATTCTCCGATTCCAGAAATTCATCCATATCCCTGCAACCAACCAACCAAACAAACAAACAAACAAACAAGCAAAGATGAGCAGCAGTTTTCTGAATCGATCTTAGAGCAGCGCAGGCATTAAAATACGTGCTTCAATCTACCTGTGAAATGGGATGCCGAGTTTTTGGCAGCGTTGAGAGTGATCGGATCTAGAAGTCGCCCTTAGGAAATGGCCCTGCTTTGTCATTGTTTTTGACAGGAACTGTCCGAAAGCGCCGAATCCGACTATACCAATCTTCAGGGCCCTGGTTGAAGACGAAGACGGAGGAGAAGAAGACATGGTGATTTGAGGAGGATCAAAATCATTGGATTGGATACACTACTAAATATAGGAAGCTACGGGGTTTTTGTTGTGAATGACTCTGTCTGTTTCAAGCTCCCACCAGTCATCAAGTCAACTCCGGGCGACTAGCTCTCGAGGAAAAAAAACCCACCATCTAATTCCTAAAACCCACCATCTAATTCCTCAGGCACACTTTCGCATTCCATAAGTGCGAAATGTGCTTTTTTGCTCTGACATGATCAGCACAAGTGGGAGTAGTTTATTTGCTCTCTCCGTCTTCTCTATTTTAGATTTCTTTTGGTTAAAATTAGTAAATTTTAACTTCAAATTAAATAAAAATGATATTAGATATTGATACAATATTAATTTTATTAAATTCATTATATCAAATACTTTCAAAATATTATTTTATCTAATTAATATAAAATATATATTTTATTTAATTGTAGGTCAAATGTTGAAAGTAGTTGACCGAAAAAAATCAAACTAGAAAAATACTCAGGGACAGATGTAGTATTATTTTTATACTCGCGTCCCTAAAATGTTTACACAGTATGACTTTTTTAGTCAAACTGTGGCACCCTTTGACAACGAATTAAATACTTTTTAGTCACGATTTCTATTTAATTGAAACTCAAAACTTATCTAGTTTGATTTGAAAAGGTCAAACTAGAAAATACATTGAAACGGAAGGATTATAATTTTGACATTATGTCTCACTTATATTTTTAAGTTAGAATTATATTTAAAATATATTTTTCATCAAAAAAACTTATAACTGTGATATAATTTGATATTAATTCATCTTATTGAATAATCAAAGTTTTAATCCTTATATATAAGAAATATAAAGAGAATCATAATCGTAATAGAATAATAATTATGGTAACAATAAAATAAGAAAAGTAAATAATAACATAGTGTTTCCTATTTTGGACAACGTTGCTTGATGATATGGAGTTCAAAATAATGAAAATTCGAATGTGCAAATCCATACATTCAACCCAATCCACAATTATCTACAGAATTAACCATCCAGCCCAATCCACCATTAAACATTCAAATATTAGGGAGCCAATGTCACCATTAACAATTATGGTAACAATAAAATAAGGAAAGTAAATAATACTCCCCCGTCCTAATTCCATCTTCCCACATTGACTATATGTCATTTTTAAAGGAGTGTAAAATATGCATTGACTTTCCCGAAATGCCCCTAAAGTCTTCCACTTCACCCAACATTGCAGATCTAAAAACACTCGCAATGTATAAATTTGGTAATCGTAAAATTTAAAACATTTTAAACACTTTTATTTATCACAATAATATTTTTCATAATAGAAACAGTACGAAGTTTTCAATGTTACGAAAACTTAACAAATCACAATCACAAAACATAATTAATTATGTATTTTGAAATAATAATTTAAAATCATCACACTAAAAATTTAAGAACTAAATTTATAATAATATTTCTTTAAATGTTACTCCCTCATTCCAACAATTTCTTTCCCTTTTGTATTAGTATTGAGAACAAGAAAAGTTAACAAATGTAAAAACCTTCCATGTTTGTATTTAATGTTATGTGATATAGTAGTGTAGATGAAAAGTAGAGATATATTAGCACACTCATTAAAAGTTTTTAATCAAAATAATAAACGAAAAAAGAATTGTATATGCCATAAAAAGGAAAGTAAGAAATAAATTAATGGACTAAGGAGTAATAAAGAAAATGTTATGTATCACCTTTTTTACTATCCCGACATACAAAAATTTAAGAAATGTAATTTTTTTTAAAAAAATTACTAGCTGGGTTTTAATGAAACAACATCTCTTCTTTTTAGTAAGGATAAGGTCTACGCACGCACTCTCCCTGGCCCAACTTTCGTGGGATTGAATCGAGTAGTTATTCTTCATTTTTAAAATAACATTGGGTTAAAAAATACAAGTATTTCGCAAAATTCTTGTTTTAAAATGAGGAAAATAAACATTAGATTATAATATTCGACTTAAAAAATAAATAAATAATATTTAAAATTTTATATGCACAATTGGTCTCGTAAGATAGAACTCGATGAGAGGTATTCAACAGTATAATTTTTATCAAATAATAACTTGTGTATAAAAAAATTACAAGTAAAATAGATTTTGTAGAAGAAAAATTAAAAAAAAGACAAATATTTTAAAATAATGGGTGCAGTTACAAGTATGGAAAGTGGCGCAGGTTTGATCAGAATTTTCGTATGTATGCCATGCGAAATTCCAAGTGAGGAAAATACTTTGAAAAATTTTCCCACTTAGGGAATTCCATCGATTAAATTCGAGCTAGTGGGCCACTTTTTAATTTTGTAGACGCTCATTCAAATAAATGTAAAAAATATCAATATTTCATTTAAAAAAAATTTACACTAAATAGTACTAAAATATATGTGATTTCTGAATGTAGTACCTAAACATTTTTATTTTCTAAATAATACTTGAATAATGTCAAGGAGTAAGAATAATGTTCAGTGATGGTGGACATTTAGTTTGAACAGTGTCCAATAACGCTAGACATTTATTTGAACAATGACCAACGGACCAATGCTACTACATTGAGAAATAAAAATATATGGTATTATTTTAGAAAGTCACTACTCCCTCCGTCCTAGAAAATCTTTCTCATTTCTTTTTTCATCCGTCTCAAAAAACACTTCTCATTTCTATTAAAAAGTCACTTTTACCCCTTACTTTTTCATACCCTACCTATCACATCATACCTTTTTATTAATAATCTATCCAACAAATCATACTTTTACTCATCACATCAAAGGACATTTTTGAAAATTCAATACCAAAATACACTCCCTTTAAATCCCCAAAACCAAAACTCACATGTTTTCCGGGACGGATGGAGTATATTTTAGTACCATTTAGATTAATTCCCCAAAAAAATTATTACTCCCAATTTTGTAATGATCTTATTATTTTTCAAAATATATACTACGTGCTTTAGAATATCTGAAAACTAATTTTGAGGAAACTTTTCGTCCACCCCTTCATCATACCTACTTGCTTCGTTATCTCATCTTCTTTTTCATAAAAATTATTGTTGGGTACTTCAAGTCCTATCATTTTTAGAAAAAATATATTCTGGATACTTTAAAATATTTTACTCTGAAACTTTACCTCGAAGGGATTTCCTTCTATTATCATTATCATCATTATTACGGAGTAATTTATTATTATTACTCACTCCGTCAGAAAAAAAATTTCTCATTTGACTTTCTTATTAAAGTTTGTAAACTTTTGACCTCAATTTGCAAAAAAATTTAATTATGTTATTATATAAATTTAATATCAATAAATTACTTTTGAAATATAATTTTGATGTCTTAATTTTTCTAAAATATATTTATGTATAAATATTTAGGTTAGTGGTCAAAATATTACATTGGAAACCGTGAAAAATAAAATAAGAAAAAAATTTCCGAACCAAGGGGTTTTACTATTGCTGGGAACGCTGTCACCGTTGCTCGGTGGTTGCTAGAAATATTGGTGAATTTTTTATCTCAATGTTTGGTTTGAATCATTCAACGGTATTTTTTGTTCTTTTTTCAGAAATTTAATTTTTCCTCTTTTTAGTTTATTTTCTCATTTCACTTTCTTTTTTTTACATTTATTCTCTAGCCAAACGAAAACTTATTTTCCATATCATTTTCTCTTTTTTTCAAATTCTTTTAGACCAGATATGAGAAAACGAAAGAACACGCTATTCAAAAATGTAAGAGGGTGGAACCTCTCTCCTGACTTGAGTGGAAATAACTCCTCAAAATTCATTGGGAAGTTCATACTGATTAAGTCCAGTGGAGAAAGAAAGGGGAACTAGGGAAGAGTTTTACATACCTTTTCCTCCCAATTTCCTTCTGATTACTTTCTAACCAAATACGAAAATTGTTGTTTTTTTCTTTCTTTTCCCTTCTGAATTCCTTGATAATATGAAGGAGACTGAGACTATTTACTTTCACAATACATTAAAAAAAAAGATGAGAAAACCAATCTCATGTCCATACCTCTAATCTCTTCTCACTCAATTTTCAATCTCAGCCTTCAAGGAGAATGTTGATTGTGTCAATGCATCAACACAAATCCAGTACACACAATGGAATTACACAAGACATTGGGAACTAAAGCTAAGAAAAAGCTAACAATATATAGTCATCCAACTCTTCCTTACACATATCATTGTTTAGCATATCCGCTTGTTTCGTCTGCCACCGCCTCCCAAACGTTGGCAATTTTTTCTGCATATCCTGCCTGATCAACACAAAAGAAGGAAATTGGTATCTCATCTCCCGACCAGCACGTCAAAAATGTACATTTTCTAAGAACTCCATATGATTTGTGTTTGGAATAATAGAATCTAATGATATCAATGGCTAATCAAACACTTCGGGTCGGTCCATTTGGGAGGGGGAGGGGAGAAGGGGAATGACTTCCGGAAGTTACTTACCCATTTTCTTCTGGTGTTTGTTTGTTGGGGAAAATAGGAGTCAAGAGAAAATGATTTCCGAAGTCAACAGAAATTGAACCTTATTTGGAGAATAGTCTTTTTTTGACAGAAGACATTTTTCATCCTTTTCCTACTTCACAGATTGAAACTCACTACGTTGTATTGTGTTGTAAGAACAAAAACTAGTTTTTTTTCCTTTTTCCAAACTCTCAACCCAACGAGAGAAAACAAAATTATTTTCCAGAAGTCATTTTTATAACTCATTTTCCATCTTTCAGAATGAACCCTTACATGAAAAATATTACAGGTCAGACTAGAGAAACAATGAATGAAGAAAAGATACCTGATTAACAATAAATCCCCTCAACATGCTCAAGAAATCATCATGCCTCTGCTTTTCTAATCTTTCTAGCTCATTCCTATTGTTTTC